GTTTGACGTCTAAGTAATCTGTATTTTTTATATGTTCATTGTGCTAAGTGTTTGTAGGAAAAAGAATGTGTTGAAAATATTCGGACCCAGGTAGCTTAGCAATTCCATATGGTATTCACCAAATTTCCTAAAATACATTGGACAGTGTGATGCATTGGATAAACATTAGGTTGTCTGTTTTTTTTATTTGAAAATCATAGTTCTTACGTTAAAGGGTGACCGCGTAAATGTTTTTCCCATTCATATTCTAACAATAACCACTGTTACTTAGTTTATTATTCTTACTGTCTTAAAGTCGGACAATGGAAGTGGTTACTTCGTTACGGTAAATTACGCCTGCCTCGGTAAGTGGCCTGACTAACGAGTGGGTCGGAAGCACTTCCTTCGCCATCTCGTCATTTACAGCCCCAAATGCCCTGGTACGGCCGAGGGTGGTGAGAGTCAGTCCACGCTTTCACATAGCCACGCGTTTACATCCACTACCAAGGAAGTCCTACTCAATGCATTCTCGAAGCATTACTGTTGTTTACGAAATTGAGGACGAAAAGCGAATATCCGGCACTTTAAACGGGTTGGTGGACATGGATAGTTCACCTAATGGAGTTGGAAAATCCTCATTCCAAACTAATGGTGTACATGGGCTCCAGGATCCTAAGGAAACAAATGGCGTATGAACCAATCATTGATCACCGGATACCATGGGACTGCATCTACTCACTTTGAGTGGACCAGATATTTATGTTAAAGGCTCCGAGTGTGACCCCCTAAGAAAACCAACTGTTTTGGTTTGAGTGACCGGGCAGTACCCCAGCCCTCACATAAATCGAATTATTTATGTGGCGCATATCTATCTGGTTCCTCTTTGTACCAATGTTTATGTGTTTAAGTAAATAAAATACTTTCCTAAGTTCATGTATCTTTTTTCTGCTTTAACTTACCAAATATTAATCCTTTCATAAACCTTCAACTTTCTTATTTTTCATAATGCTGGAGATTACTGTTGATAAGTTATTGAAGTCTACAGGCAACTTCATATATTGCCATATTCTCAAATTTCATTGTTTCTATTACTGAATGAATGAAATTTAACCAATTGAAATGTAGTATTAGATTAAGATCAGTACTTGTTTAAAAATGCCAATGTAAAGAGTTTTCAAAAAAAAACATGTTCCTCATTTCTTGTTACTGTTCTAAAGTTTGAGGTATTTATTGGTTCTTATACAAGTTGATACAGTCCTCAACAACTGTGTTAGACCAACAAAATTGTTGACTATTGATTTAGTTTTGAGACATTTGAGCGGTGTATTACTTATTATACAAGACAGTCTGGATACTGGGACTAGAAAAATAGGAATGAAACTCCTATTTTTCGCCACAGTAATTACCCGACAAGATATAGACAGCTGAAAAGCATTATTATTCATTACCCATTTTGCGTTTTCTGCGATTATAAGCTGACACTGCGTTCCATGACTATGTGTTCTTCTGTTCTCGACTACCACTGATACTATTTCTACAACTCAAGAATTAATCTTGATAATTTACATCTGTGTGGTGATATGTTGCTTCAAGTTGAACGAAATTATATATGTATTATGTCCTACATTACTTATCTCTATTCATCTATCTACCCAAAAACAAAAGAATTAATGAGCTAAACAATGTTAAGACAAATATAATCCAGTTTAAGAATAGTTTGTTTATCTTTAACTACTAATGAATGTGTAAGTAGTCAGATTATAATCAACAATAACAAAAATAAAGTCAGCTATCGATGCATTTTATAGACAAATCAATTTATCCAGTTAAGTTAATCATATACATTAGAATGGTATACAAATATATTCAATAAATCATAGGTAATAAACAAACAGATACTCATACAAAAACTGATAGAATATAAAAATATACTACTAACAACATGTTTTCAACATTGTTTCAATATAGAACATTATTTAAATGAATAAACAACGAACAATATTTCAAATAAATAAACAAATAAATGAACAAACAAACAAAAAGACAAAAAATCCATAAACACTAAAAAAATACACATCAACATCATTGAGTAGAAATAATAAAATGCACAATTGAGGAAAATGTAAGCAAGTCACTTTCTCATTTTTCTTAAATATACAGTTCGGATAAATTTATTCTTTTTAAATAAAAAAGCAAAACAAAAAAAAAAAAGAAAAACACACTCAACAAATACATTAACTAAGAAAAAAAGGGAAAAAAAATGGTAAAGGGTGGAATGAAAAAGAACCCTTTTTGTTGATTTACCGTATTGATCTGTAGGTTAATGATGACAAGAAGAAACTCTAAGATTAAGGAGCTACACCATAAGAACCGACTAGAAGATGGACGAAAAAACCAAAAGAAAAGAGACGAGAAACATTTCAATGTAGTACATATAGATAAGTATATTATTAAAATATTAATTGTAAGATAAAATGTTTAAGATTAATTCATAGGAATAATGTTAATCAACAATTGATATTATTAACATTATTGGGGTTGTGGAGATTATTAAGTTTTTGATTGAGATCATGAATCGACTGATGTTAGACCACCGCTGGAAACCTGGAAGCATTGGACGGCCGTTTCGTTCCAGTATGGGACTCCTCAGAAGTGCGCATCCACGATCCCGCTCGCGGGATTCGAACCCAGGGCCTTCAGTCTCGCGCACGAACGCTTAACCTACTAGATCACTGAGCCGGTGTCCAATGGTGTAAGCGTCTAACATCAACCAATCCACGAAATTGAGCGACCATCTTCCATTGTACTGAGGTAGATACCTGTCTCTACCCGACACGGATTAGCTCCACTGGTCACGGCTTCTCACTAGAACTCCGAGAATTCCCTCATGAAGCTAGTCACTAGTGAGCACATGGTAATCATCATTATTGGGGTTGTGGAGATTATTAAGTTTTTGATTGAGATCATGAATCAACTGATGTTAGACCACCGTTGGAAACCTGGAAGCACTGGACAGCCGTTTCGTCCTAGTATGGGACTCCTCAGCAGTGCGAAATATTACAAGTAAATTAGTGAGTACTGGATAATAATACTTTTTTTATTTAGTATACAGTTTATCCACTCCTCCTTTGGTTTGGGCACCCGGGTAGTATCAAAGCCCTCACACAAATCAATCATGATTGCTACTCTTGCCTCATTGTTATTGTGTAGTATATATGTATTTGGGACCTTCTTGTACTAAGGCTTATGCGTTCGAAAAAATAAATCAACTTTATCCGCTTAGATTATATACATATATATATATATATATATATATATATATATATATATATATATATATATATATATATATATATATATACAATACTTTGTACAAGATCAGACATGAGACTTTGGCATCATATATAGTAAACTGTTAAAGTGTAAGTAGAGTATAAACTACTGCTAATGAATGGTAACTTTTGAGATCCATTATGGACCAATACTATACGTATATTTTTATCATATAATTGTTATGTAGCTAAACGATTCATATCCATGTCCCACTTATTATGAGCTTTGTTTTGACCTATGAACTATTATTATACGATTTACCATTCTTGAGTTATATCCAGTATATTAATTACTACGTCCCTAATTCACAGCCACATCTGGCTAATTCTTGTACAAATGTTGTTTCATATTTTATTGGTACGATGTGGCCAGTTTGATTGATATATAAACTCCGTATGTTTGTAATATAATGATTCGTATAGCAGAGGCTGAGCTTGGTGTCCTGAACTTAACTGGCTATGCTAGGCAGGAAGCACGGCCAATCAGGAATCTACACAAGTTACAACAATAAATTTAATGCATTACTTTGTAATATTGACAGTAGTATTTCTGAAATTCAGTCCCACCAGAGCTCTAAATCAACATAAAATTCATTATCATTATAAGATTAGGGAGATTGTTGAGTATCAATTGATATCATGAATCGACCAATGTTCTCGAAGTTCGAATGAGAAGCTGTAACTAGTGAAGTTCAACCGTGCAAGACAGTTCTTCACCGAAGACGATGGAAGACAGTCGTGCAACATCGTGGATTGGTTGAGGTTAGACACTAACACCGTTGGATATCGACCAGTTCAATGATTTAGAGGTTAAGCGTTCGCATGCCAAACAGAAGGTTCTTGGTTCGGGTCCCACATCCAGGATTATGGTTGTACATTGATGTGGAGTTGTATACGAGGACGAGACAACCGTCCAGTGCTTTCAAGGTTTCAATGGTGGTCTAGCTTAAATCGACTCATGAATTCAACCATTAGATTGTTACGATATCCACAAATTCCTCATTCTGATAATGACGATATATATATATATATATATATATATATATATATATATATATATATATATCCTTTATCATAAGTTTTCGATTAGCTCATTAACCTCTGTTATACGATTTACTATTTTTAATCTATTCCTAATTTATTATTTAGTCCCCTTACATTCAACTACTTTTTGGCGTGATCATGTGTACTCAAATCTTCTAAAATTGAAACATTTTAATATTTAACCGTAAAAAACACACAAACACACACGCTAGACAAAATACCGAAAAAACCAAGAATTTCACAGTATGTCATAATCATTAACCGTTGAATGCCAGCTCAATGGTCTAATGGTTAAGTGCCCACGCGCGAGACTGATATGTCCAGGGTTCGAACCTCGCGGGAGGGGGCGGGATCGTGGATGCGCAATACTGAATGGTCCCATACTAAGACAAAACGGTCGTTCAGTGCTTCTATGCTTTCTATGGTGGTCTAGCTTTAATTAACTCATGATTTCAACTATTGAAATTTCTAAAATCTCCACAAAACCCCCCTCTGATTATATTTATATACCGAAATTCTAACAAAAACAACCACTCCCCCCAAAAAACAAACCAACATTTATTAACTATTACTCACTTGATTTCTAATGAAAATTAAACAACGATAAAGAATAATCTTTCTCTTCTTTTATAATTCAGTTGGTAATCATAATTTATCTGTAATAATATCTACTGTAACTGTTGAATTACAATAAGTCACTGGGATGTTTTGAATGGATAAATTTATAGTTTTGTCTTCTATTGAAATCTTCGAATTATTATTATTATTATTATCATTATCATTATTATTGTTATTAATAGTAGTAGTAGTAGTAGTAGTAGTAGAAAGTATATTTTGACAATAGATTACAGCATCATGTATACTAATAAATGAATTATGTTGAATATGTGATGATGTTAAATTATCACTTATTAATACTGTATAAATTTGTGGATCACATATAGTGAATAATATACGAATGTCTAATTCAGCATAACTTTTAATTATCTAAAAAGAAAGTGGAAAACACAGAGTGATAGATAGAGACATGAATGATAATATAATGAATTAAAAATATATTCATATGATACAATTTATGAAGTAATTCAAAACTAGCCACCCAATGCCCTGGTACGACTGAAAGTGGGAAGAGTCTGCTCTCCCTCTCGAAATGCTTTCACATGGTTATATGCATACAATCACTGATAGGGAAGTCGTACTCACTACCTTCTTGCAGCATTCCTTTTGTTTTATGAAATTAGGAGGACGAAAAGTGAATATCTGGCATTTTGACCGGATTGGTGGATACAGAGAGTTTACCTAGGGGAGTTGGAAAACCCTCATTCCAAAACAATGGTGCACATGAACTACAGGATCGTGAGGGAACAAATGGCATATTACGTATAAAAATACTAGGTTGTCAAAAAGTATTCAAAAAAGTGAATCCTTTGGACGCCAATCTTGAGCTTACAGAGATACCAGAAGTTTTGGGATTTCCATCTCGGACATATTCGTGAGTGTGCACTGCTGAAGAGTTTCACACTGGGACGAAACTAGTTAAACATCATCTTTTTGATATTTAATAGTTATAAATAGTTCTTGATGCAAAACAAATCAACTTCAAATCAGACAGTGTTCATAATATTTTTATGGTGAAAAATTGTCGCGAATTCGAAAAACTAGGCATGAAATACAACAACTCAATGCTTCCAAGTACAAAAATGGTTTATTATTCAATCAGTGGTAGTTTGTAATAAAAATAGTGGATGTTACATTTATCTAAAATCTTCATAGAATTAACCATCGTTAATTCAACTAGTGAAAAACTTACATCAGTAATAGTTCTCATACCGACAACATCCAAATAAATCCATGATGATATATCTAAGATAATGAATTTCAATTGACCAGTAAGATCACCATCATTTTTACTATAAGTAGTCTAGAAAACAGAATAAGAATTGAGAAAAACAACAAACTTTCAAATGACTATCTTGTTCATCTGAATAGTACTAATAAAAGCTTCTTTTGAAGATATCTAGGTAGTTTATTCAATAAGGAAATACATTCATTGAAATCATTAAGAATATCATTTTACAAGCACTTCATATATATGAATTTTACCCCATTCAAAATATTTCCCATTCTTTATGAAGAAACATTTTTCGTATATCCGTTCCTGTCATTCTCAACATTTGTCAAAAGTCGCCATTGGTTAGATCAGTGAGTAGTAGTGACTGGTGTCATGTTTATTTAATCTTTTATTACTGATCAAATTCTGCCGATTAAATTGTAATGTGGTCTCTAGTATCAGTCTCTCAATATCAAGTGGATTAAGACGAGATGCTAGGTGGTTAGAAACAGTTGATAAGAAATCCTGTTTAACCTACGTTTCATGGTAGCTAGTATTCATCAGCAAAGTCTATCATTAATCATGACAGTGATCAATCAGTTGTACGTATCTCACTCATACAGAAGGTCAGTGACATCCTGATTGACTCAATAGTATATTCTCAGACTATTAAGCTAGTTCCAATCCAACAGGGAGCGCAAGTCTCTTTAAAATTCTAGCTATGCTTTTTTGATGAGTTTTAAGTAACACAAAAACTAGGTCAGACAGAATTTCCATTCTGCTATGTCCAACTACTAAGCATCTCACATGGTCACTCAAATACTGCGTCTTTCACCATACCCATCATTAGATTATCTCAATACTGTCTGTGTATGACCATTTAGCGTTTCAAACACAAAAAAGTACCATAGAAAACTATTTCCGATGAATATGAAGTGTGATCTAATGTGATGATCAAGTTATAAGTTATAAAAATGCTAACAATTACTCTTGAATATCTCTATATACAGTATAGTAATCCGTGAAAGCGTTTGAACAATATAAATCATTAATCATTTCTGTTAGTTATATGTATTAACAAACAACTTCAATAGATCAGTTCATGTATTTACTAGACAGATCATGGTTCATAAATATTTTTCATCTTAAAAAGTGTTTTACTTTACACGCAATATGATCATTTAATTCATTTCATATTGTTTGTTTGAATCTTCCCATTAATGTTTAGGATTGCAAATGATCAGTCTTATATTAAAATATGTGCATCCTGCACGGATTGCCTCGACATTGGCTTAAGTCACAAGAATTATAAGCAGAGATGGACTCAGTAGCTAAATGGATAACGTGAGGGCGCTTGAAGTGAACGATACTGGGTTCAAGTCCCGGAGTGGATATCAATTCTGAGATGCAGGTACATCCAGCCGACGAGTCCCAAATAGGACAAAACGTATGTTTAAAAGTGTACTGTTGACTATCTACAATTAATCGATTGAGAGTCATTATTATTTAGAATAAACGTTAAGAAATCAAAGGATATATTCAATTTATTTAATGTAATACAATCAATCACTATTTTCATTCCAACCGAATTCATAAGATTATTTTTCTTGTACATAAAAATTAGTAAAAATGGTATTTAGTATTCTGTAATATAGTTAAATTCATCATCAATGAACAAGGAAGATCTGATGCTGACCTAAAGACAAAAATCAACAAAGCAATGACAGTATTTCTACAATTGAAGAACATATGGAACCCAAAACAACTGTCAGCCAACATCAAAATCAGAATCTTCAATACGAACGTCAAGAAAGTTCTACTGTACGGAACTAAAACTTGGAGCATTACTACAACCATCATCTAAAATGTATTGGTATTTATAAACAATTGCCTACGCAAGACATTCAATATTCGTTGGCGTGATACCGTCAGCGACAACCTACTTCGCGAGAGAACAAAACAACTACCAGACGAAAAGAAAATGAAGAAAATATGCTGGACATGTGTAGGCCATAGGTTGCGGAAATCATCAAACTGCATCACGAGGCATGCACTGACTTGGAATCCTGAAGAGAGATGGGAAGTGGAAGGCCAAAGAACATACTGCGTCGGGAATTGGAAGCAGACATCAGAAGGATGAATAGCTCAGTAGTCTAGAAGTTGACCATTCAAGCGCGAAACCAAAGGTACTGAGTTCAATTTTCGTGTGCGGGATAGTGAATGCGAAGCGCACCACTGAGAACTTCCATACTACAATCAAACGGCCATTCAGTGCTTTTCATTGATGATCTAGCTAAGATCAGTTCGTGATTTTAACTGTAAAAATGCTACACATATCATTGTATAATCATTAGTGACTACAAACAACTTTCGAATTGAATTATTATTCACTTATATAATAATAATAGTAATGATAATAAATAATTCGAGTCAACGAAACATGATTTAAAAAAGGACAGTTCTTTGATGAAGCTAATTAATAAATGAAAGTACTTTTACATAATCCATGTTGTATACTGTATTATATATTACATTAAATAAACTGATCACACGATAATACAAATTAACAAGGTTGCTTCTATAATTAAAAATATGTAAAATTTGACATTGTATCTGTATATTATAAACTAATAGAGGGTTTTATAAATGCTGTTAAATTTTGTAGCAGTATCACAATTGAAATCACGTGTTGATCTAAGCTAGACCACCATTGAAAAATTCGAAGCACTAGATGGGCATTTCATCCTAGTATTGGACTTTTCAGCAGTGTGCATCCACGATTCTGTATGAGGCAGTCGAACCCAAGACTACGGTCTCGCGTGCAAACGCTTAACCTCTAGGACACTGAGCCGATCGATATCCAACGGTGGCTAACTTCAATCGGTCTATGCTTTTGAGCAACCCTTCATTCAATTTCTGAAGGGGACAGGTGTCTCACATCCGACACGAATTGAACTCCAATGGTCACGGCTTCTCACTAGAACTCCAGGAAATCTATCTTGAAGCTAGTCATTAGTGAGCACATGATTATTATCAGTATGGGAATTCGTTGAAATCACGAGTTGATCCACTGCTAGCCACCATCTATTTTTACTTTGAATACTTATGACTTGAACAATATTGAGGCAATTTATATAAGATACACATATGTCAATAAGAGACTGATTAAATGCAGTTCTAAACATCAATGGGAAGTTTCAAACAAACAATACAAAATGCACTCTTTACACAATCTGTACACGCACACACACACACACACCCAGAGCATTTCAACCCCACTACTTCATATTACAAATGCACATATTTTTCACATACACCACTACACAGATAAACATAGTGATTTGTTATACGGAATTACCTTGACCAAAAATAACTTGACACTAACATATTCAAACTTTCTTTGACCTTGTTTACATTTAAAAAAATATTCTACATTGTTTCTATTGTACTATTTAAACTTATGTTCATTTTATTTCGGTTATTTATTTGTTTACTTTAAAGGAATGACATACATTGTCACAAAACGTTAGCAGTACAAATTTCTAGTCATTCGGATATCATAAGAAAATGTAATTATAATATTAAGAGGCTTATAGTTTTTCAATTAAAGAATAATTAATCTGTGATCTAGTGAAATATTCATATGGAAACTTAAAGCAACAATCCACTAGATTCTTACACTTCTCATTTTATAAGATAATATGATTTTGAAATAAAATACAAAACTATGGATCAGGTCAAGAAGATAATGACTATTGAACTATATTGAATTAAGTATTGTAGTCTTTTGAAATAGGTGACTATGAAATAACCGTAAACGATGGCTAGAGGAATAAAGTAATATAAACAAAGATGGATGGTGGTTAGCAGTGGAATTCAGGACACGTGTTTCGTCCTATTGCGTGCTCGTCAGTTGGATGCACCTGTATTCCAAAGTTGCAGCGAGTGGTACTAAGTTCGAGTCCCAGAGTGAACATCAACACTGAGATGCAGGTAAAGCCAGCTGACGATTGCCAAGTAGGAAGAAATGCGCGTCCTAGATTTCTCTGCTAGCCACCATCCATATTTGCTTATAATGCTTGTGACATAAGGCAATATTGAAGCAATCCGTGCAGGATGCACATACGTCAATAAGAGACTGATCAATTGCAGTTTTAAACATTAATGGGGAGATTCAAACAAACAATGCAGAAGAAATTTAAAGTAATATAAAGTTGAGGATAATCTCAGTAGTGATGTAATCACTTTCATTAGCTTTCTGTCAATCTAGTATATAAACAATACTTCGAAATTCTTATTATACGGTTTTATACTAATGTTATACTATTTATATCCAGTGCATTTGGTCTAATGTTATCATTTTGAATAAGTTATATTTTGTTTCATTAAGTTCGTGTATTGCTGTGTTAGTAAGATATATAACTAACTCAGCTGATATACACTTCTTTAAATAGTATATCGTACGGATCTGAAACATGGAGAACTAGTACAACCATAATCAAATAAGTACAATTATTTATAAATAGTTGTCTACTCATGATACTCAATATCTGTTGGCCGAATACCATCAGTAAGAGCCTACTATGAGGGATAACAAACCGGCTTCCAACTGATGAGGAAATTAGAAAAAGACGATGGAAGTTAATGGGAAATACATAACAGAAATCATCAAACAGCATCACGAAGTAAGCGCTAACTTGGAATCTTGAAAGGAAACAGAAAAGAGGAAGACCAAGAAACACACTACGTTGAGAATTGGTAACAGACATCAGAAGAATGAATAGCAACTGGAATGGCTTGTCCAGGACAGAGTTCGAAGGAGGATGCTGGTGGGCGGCTTGTGCTCTTCCACGAGGGTTAACAGGTGTAAGTAAATAATATATCATTCTAAGTCACAAACTAGTGTTGCAATGTAGCACTTAATTAAATAAACATAAAAATGTGATATAATTAATTTTAACTCATTGGTCTAAACGGGCTTTTCGTTTATTGTCTTCTGTTAATGTAATATATATCAACACGGATAGATGAATTTCCATGCTACGTCTAACATTAAATTATGAATAATTTACTTGTAGGTCTGCCTGTAATGAAATTCTATGAATTCTACTGTCTAACAGAATGGATTTGAAATAAATTAAATAACAAATCATTACTGTTTCAGTCAATGTATATTAAAAATAATATTTAACTCCTATAAGGCTATTTATAAAGATATGACCATTTCATAGGTATCACATTATCAAAGTTTGATTTGATAATTTCGAATAAATTGAGCATTGGATAGATTGTTATAAATAAATTAACATATTTGTAAATATCCCAATCAGTAGAAAAATGAGATTTTCTGACGTTTCGTCACTCAATGTAAGCCACTTCTTCAGAGTGAGTAAATAACCAAACTAAAATTAATCTAAATGTAAATAGTACAACGAAACAACAAGAATATGATATTGTTGCGTTGTTCCTTTGTACTATTTAAACTTGAATTAATTTTGATTTGATTATTTATTTACTTTGAAGAAGTGGCTTACATTGAGTGACGAAACGTCAAAAATTCAAAATTTTCTACTCATTGAGATATCTACAAATACATTGATTTATTTATGACTATTTGATGTTATTAATTTAGAACAATAACTAATAAGACATTCAAATCGATTCACTGATAAGTAACTAATCTCACTTGAAACATTTCTAGATTTCATTAATTAAGACTTCTTATCATTAAAACAACAACAACAACAACAGCAACAACAACAAGACAGACACATACACAAAGTGAACTCAACGCCAATCAATCATCAAAATTTGAATACCTATGCAACGGATTACTTTATATGAGAGTATAACCAAGAACATATACAAAAGACATTATATAACAAGTGTAAAAAAAAAGAAACTGTCTTACATCTGTCGTAATTTGTGAAATATGTGGAAATTTACCACATTCTTTCTTATTATTAAATTTGACACGTTTTATTGCATTTTTAACAGAAGACAATCGATTATATCTATTATATTGAGACTGATTAAGATTTTCTTCATTAAGTTGTTGTTGTTGTTGTTGTTGTTGCTGTTGCTTACGTTCCAATTGTTGTTTGATACGTTGACGTTGTTTAATTAATTTATGTGGATTAATATTGGTCATTTGATAAATCCAATTTTGAAATGATTCTGAATTAGCATAATACAATGGACCACCATATTTTAATATAAGAATATTGGGAAGTTTTATAGCCTAAAATAAAAATAAAAATAATTAATGGATTTATATAGAAATTTGATTTTAACATTGGTTGTCATATCGAAAGTAGTTGAAATATATACACATGACTATCATGAGTTAGTAGGTAAGTGGATAACGTGATGATGTTTGAAGCGAACGGTACTGGGTTTGAGTCTCAGAGTGAACATCAACTCTGGGATGTAGATATATCCAGCTGACCAGTCCTAAATAGAACGAAACGCGCGTCAAATTAGATTCCACTGCTAACCACTATCTATTTTTGCTTATAATACTTGTGAATTAAGACAATAATCACCGTATGCATATATGTCAATAAGAGAACAATCGATTGCAGTCTTAAATGACAATGGGAAGATACAAGTAAAACAGTACCAAGTGAACTTATATAATAACTGGGTTTAATAAAATACCATTTCTACTACAATCATAATCTAAGTATGTTTAAAAGGTTAGTTGAAGTTACAAAGATAAGTTTTCCATTTAGGAATTCAATTATTATCAGTCAGTATGAAGATTTGTAGAGATTGTAGTATTTTAAAAGCTGAAGTCATGAGTTGATTTAAACTAGACCATCATTGAAAACCTTCAATCAATAGGAGACCATTTCATCCTAGTATGAGACTCCTCAACAATGCCCATCCAAGATCCCCCCACCAAATACACTCGGACCCAATACATTCGGTTTCGCGTGAGAACGCTTAACCACCAGACCATTGAGCCGTCTGGCATCCAACGGTGTTTAGCTTCAATCGATCAGTGATTTTGCGTAACCCTTTATCCATGGTCGGAGGTGGAGAACTGTCTCACACTCGACACTATCAATTAGCCTAGGGCAAAAAAATATTGAAGGATTTCCGGTTACGATATTTACAAGATAGTTCAAATAAATGTATGGTAACGTCAGTTATAGTGCTCGTTTGTCTAAGTAGAAGTTAAAAGTGTTTGTCATTAAACCATCAATTAAAATTTGTAGCAAATAAAAAACTAGGAAAAAACTTGAATAACCTAATTATTTAAGAGAAAAAATATGCCATATAACAACAAATTCAATTAGGTAACGATACATGGAACCCAAGTATCATCCATATAAATTAGATATGTTTTACAAATTTAATGACTTGATCTAACGAGGTAGAACTTAAGCATCTGTTATGTCCCGATAGGCATAATTAACGGTAACTTTTGGGATCCATTTTTGGACCAATACTATGCGTATATTTTTGTCCCTCTTATTATGACTTTTATTTTTACCTATGAACTATTATTATACGATCTACTATTGTTAAGTTATGACCTGTCTATCAATTACTATCTCCCACATTCACAGTCACATTTGGCCAAATCTTGTACAAATGTTGTTTCCTATTTTATTGGTACGATGTGGTCTGTTTGATTAGTATATAAACCCCGTATGCTTGAAATATATGATTCATATCGCAGAGGCTGAGATTGGTGTTCTGGACTTTGACTGGTTGGGCTAGGTAGGAAGCAGGACTGATAAGTACTCTAGACTGCTCGTACGGGTTTTATGCGTCACTGGTTCGATCGATAATTCACTGCTCTCTAATTGGCGGTATCGTTACGTTATACATTAGCAAGGCGTACAGGCCACAAGTTTTAACAGTATCACAGTTAGACATTAATTCTATTGGATAGTGACTAGCCTATGCTTCCCATATCCGTAATAGTTTGTTAAATGACTTTATGAGCATATTTATTCTTATGTTACATTGTGTATTTTGCTAGAAAAAAAAACATATTCTGATGAGCGGCTGGATTGTCTTCGGATATCAATTCAATTGGGGGAAAGAGGGTGGCTATAGACAGTCCAGTCTCATTAACAGTTATTACTCAACCACATTATATTACTATGTATTTATTAATCGATCGATGCATTTTGTACACTAATTTAGCAATCCATAAAGAAGTGTTTAATATCATATCAACAATAAATTCTTCACCACACAAATGTAAAACAGAACGTCAAGTTACGAAATCGATTAGAAGTTAAGCAACAAGTATAGAATATAATTTAATAGATAGATAACTTACTTCATCATATCTCTTTAAATCAACATAAATATTTGTGTTAGGAATCTGACCAAGTTCATAATAATATGTCGATTGTGTACGATATAATACCGTTAATAGGGAGAAACACAAACCAGTTAATAAACCTATCGGGACATCAATAAATACGGTGGCCATGAATGTTACAAGCCATATAAGCTTAAAGATTAAAACCAAAGAAAAGAAAAGAAATTACTAATATTTTAAAAAAGGTATTCAATCGAAGAATAAATAGAATGATACATGAATTTGAGTATTTTATGACCGTGCAGAAAAAAAAAACCGTTTAACAAAGAAATTTATATACATCTATGAAAACTACTGATTCAAAATTCAGTAGCCCACATATCCAAATTATCGTGAAGACTGTGTAGTGTTTAGCTCTTTTTAATTTTCAATGATTTTGTAGTTCTGCTATGTTTGAAGAGATTACGAAATCGCCTAAACCGATGAACTGAACGAAAGATCAACGACATAACGATAAGCTAACTATTCTAATATGTCCCTGCCTCGCTAACTAGAAGTAGATCAGGTTCAGAAGAGGGGAAATACATTCCACACACAGCCAAGAGTACAAACGAACACAAGCACACAACTTCAGAGTATATATACAGCATAGATATATCCTTAGGAAACGTCACGAAATAGCATATTAAGAGATAACCAACCAATGACATTTAGGGTCCTTCCAATTAAGGGATATAATGTGAAAGTGAAAATGGGCGCTTTTGGTGCGAAAACAAGAAATTCAAATTTCTAAAATAAAATTACAAAAATAATTTGTTCACCAAGTGAGTTCTGAGGATCTAGAATCCCCGAAAACGTCTTACTTATTTATAAAGCACGTTATAAAATTGCACAAAATTTCACTACAACATAAAGATGGTTCAGATAACAAATAGTAGAAATAAAAATAATAATTTTAATTAATGCAAAGGAAATGATTGCAAAAGTACCCATGTACACCACTTACCATATCATATATTGAAACGCGATATAATGCACGTAGATCCATAATTTGTAAGAAGATACTTTCAAGCGATACGACAATAATCGATGATAAGATACACTAGAAACCATCATGAGATTATGTCAAAACAATAAAAAAACCCAAAGAATACAAGTAAATAATGAACAGTCGATAGGCACTGATAATCTTTTAGTATAAACATCCAATATTAACATATATTTCAATGGTTAGATCATGAGTCAGTTGAAGCTAGAGCACTATGGAAAACCTGGAAGCACTGGACAGGACTCCTCGGCAGTGCGCATCCACGATCCCTCCTCTCCAGACTCGAACCCAAAACCTACTGGTTTCGCGCGCGAGCACTTAACCACTAAACCACTGATCCGGACGATATCCAACGGTGTTAATGTCTAACTTCAACTAATCCACGAAATTGAGCGACACATCCACCATTGCCTTCAGTGAGTTACTATCCCACAACAGACCTGGTTGAACTCCACTGCTCACTACTTCTCCCTAGAACTCCAGGATATACCTCATATATATACATATATTCATAAACATTTACAGTTAATTATCAAGGAATGTCATTAAAGGATAGTGAAATAACAACACGTCAAGGATATTCAGAAAGCGATATTGGACAAGATACTTAGGTTAGAATATTTGATCAAAATCGAACTCTCTCCGTGATCAATATATCCAGTGGAAAGCACGAGAAATGACAAAAAAGTATGACCGAAATCATAAATAAGGAAATTTTGTCAAATGTATTACAGTGACCACTATTCAAAACAGCAGGATATTTTTTAGAACGGGTTAATCTACAACATTACATTGGGAAGGCTTTAAAAATGTAAATTTTCTCGGCCTTTCGAATTAATACTCAGGACATCAGGACTCAGTAAAAAATACATCGAATCATTATGGTGTTGACTATACGAGATACAGAACCCTCAAAAGTAATCAGACAAGAGTAAAAACTTTGAAAATACTAAACAAGACACAGATCACAGTACGAGACGACAAAGAACGCATTACAGTAGTTATAAATAAGGTGGATTGTCTCAAGAAAGCAAACCTACTGAACAATACCCATTATATACTGACCTCGAGTGATAGATTTTATCAAAGGATTAGATGATCAACTGTATTGGTTTTAACGACTTCAAACTACAATTTACATAAAGAACTTTGTAGGATTTGGAAGCACATGACTAAAACATGTAACCATTCTATCAACTCTTCAACACGGTTCTTCGAAAAGACCAAAAACACACAACTAAACAAAGATGAAATCATAGTATCTTTTTATACTATAGCTATATTCATTTCAATAGAAATAAAACCTGAAAAAGATATCAAGTCATAGCTGTACAGCAACAGCAAATAACTCACAGAACATACAAAAATGCAGTAGATCAATTTCGTAAAATTTTGGAATTTAAATCACTAGTTTTAAGGTTCAGGGTTCCATCGATGATGCAATCTCAGATATATAAGATTATAAACATCCGCCCAATGTTTTCGGGTTTCCTATGGTGATTTAGTTTAGATCAATTCATGAATTACTATATCTACTAAAATTACTATATCTACAAACACCCCTTCTGATATTAATCAACATATGCTCAGTGGTGACTGGTTTCAAGAGTCATTTCCTGGAGTTCTATTGAGAAACAGTGATCAATGGAGTACAACCGGGTCTGTTGTGAGACAGTCACTGACTGAAGACAATGGTGGATGTGTCACTCGACTTCATGGATCGGTTTAAGTTATACATTAACACTGTCGAATGTCAGCCAGCTCAGTGGTCTAGTAGTTAAGCGCCTGGTGCGAGACTTATAGGTCCTGGGTCCGAGGCAGAGTCGCGGATGTGCACTGCTGAGAGCGAAACGGCCGTCCAGTGCTCCTAAGTTTTCCATGGTGGTCAAGATTAAATTGAATCATGGTCTCAACTATTGAAATATATATATATATATATATATATATATATATATATATATATATATAAAGTAATCCTGATAGCCACTTTGCCTGTAGCTCTTCTAGAGTTACTGCCGGTCCCAAGCCCGGGTATAGGAGGAGGGTTGGGCATAGGGTTAACGACCCCATTCCGTAGAAAGCTAACCAGAATATCCTGATAGCCAGATCTTAATGTTATTGACATGAGATTAACCTCACAATTGATTATATATTAAAACAACTTTCAATTAGGCCTCTTTAATATATTTTATTTAAAAATGTGATTTTAATGCAGACTGAAAATCGCGTTAATTTTTTCATAGTGATTTATTTGATAATTTTTTTTCCATAACTTGATGTTGTGTGGTAATCATATCAGTTTATAATATTATATAATAATGGACTATTTATTAATCAAGGTTGTATTCATTATTTTAACAGTTCTAAGATCAACTTATGAGTTCAAGTATTAAAAATTACTATAATCTCCACAAATCCCCATTCTGATAACTATCATGTGCTTACTAATAACTAGCTTCAAGATGAATTTCCGGGTGTTCTAGTAACAAACTGTGACCAAAGGAGTTCAATTGATGTCGGATGGAGACAGTTATCCACCTCGCAATGGATGAAAGGTTGAGCAAGATCATAGATCGATTGAAGTTAGACATTAACATTATTGGATATCGGCCAGTCCTGTTATGTAGAGGACAACAGTTCGCGCACCATCGAATGTACTGGTTTCGAGTCCCTTTAGTGCGGGATCGTGGACGCGTACCATCGAGGAGTCCAATATTACGACGAAATGACCGTCCACTGCTTCCAGATTTTGAACGGTAGTCTATCTTAGATCGACTCATAATTTCAATTATTAAGAATTCTAAACGTGTTCAACTTCATAAATTCTGATACAATAAGGTTGATCCTATCAGTTTGTGATTTCGACTGTGGAAATGCTATAATCTTCACAAATCCCTCATACTACTGACTAGCTTCACAAATCAACGGAGATTAACCAATATTTAAAAGATTTAATCAATGGTTGTTAAAAGTGGACTTTAACTTTCTTGTTAAGTATCTAGAGATTTAAACACAATTTTATATAATTATTAGCATTAAGCGGTTGTAGGGATAAGTTAAGTTGTAGTTTTACATTACATATTAAGTTTAAATAAGTAACTATTAAAAATAAGAACACTGAATATTTGTTTCATTCTAGTAATGGTATCTACAGTAGAACACATCCACGACCCCCATCAGAGATAACAATCGAGATATTCTTGAAACCACTGATTTGACATCTGTTGATTAGATTTATTAATTTGGAAACATAAACAATTTTCAAAGTTAGAAATGTTAGTCATTGAATAATGAACTCAGAGGTTTCAAGATCCTAAATTCTACTAATAATGAAGTGTTGGATACGTACTCTAATAATAGAGTCTTATACTAAGATGAAACAACTATGCAGCACATCTCAATCTTCAATAGTGATATAATATCAAGTTGAATAAATTGAATTCACTTGATAGCGTGAATAGAACAACACTATGGAAGCTTCTTCGACACTACGGAATGCCTGAGCAGATAGTGAATATCATACGGAATTCCTGTGATAGATTAAACTGCAAAACCATGCATGGAGGACAATTGACAGACTCGTTCGAGGAAAAGACCAGTGTTAGGCAAGGTTGCTTACTCTCACCCTTTCTCTTTCTCCTGGTGATCGATTGGATCATGAAGACGTCAACATCTGAGTGGAAGCATGGGATACAGTGGACAGCTAAGATGCAGCTGGACGATCTATACTTCACAGATGATCTGGCTCTTCTATCGCACACGCAACAACAAATGTAGGAGAAGACGACCAGTGTAGCAGCAGCCTCAGCAGCAGTACGTCTCAACAAAAACAAAGGGAAAAGCGAGATTCTCCGAGACAACACAAGATGCACCAATCGAATCACACTTGATGGAGAAGATTTGAAAGATGTAAAAACGTTTACATATCTGGGCAGCATCATTGATGAACATAATTAGCTAATTCAAAGAAATTATGAACTATGGATATGAACAAAAGAACCTTAATGAATATGCTAAAAAAAACTACATACCTTTGGGACAGTTTGTAAAAATTGTCCAATCACAGTAATAACAAGTAAAAGAATACAACAAGAAACCAAAGAAGCAACCTATTCATTCAGTAAAAAAAAGATGGAAATTTATTAAAGAAAAATATTGGATTTGAAAAAAAAGAACACATGTTTAATAACTGATAAATAGGAATAAATAAATTGATTAGCTATGGTGTAATGATATATGTAGATCTGTGTATCACACCAACAAAGTGTAATCTCTGTATTTAGGTTAAAGTTCAGCGATATTTATTGTTTATGCCCATAAATTCCCTTTTACGGCAGGAGGTGGGAAGAATCATCTCTCTCTTTCTCTCGATCTGAGCTCAAGGATTTTGAGGGATGACCATGGAACTGAATCTCCTAACGTTGTTCCACTGCCTTGTGGACTAGGTCTCTAGGTCGTAGGCTAGGGGTGTGGCTCCTTAAGGAAATTACCTGCTTCGGTAGGGCAACCGAGGAGTATTCCAGCCCTTATACATATCGAATGGTGATGTGTGGCGCACATATATTTGGTGCATCCTTGTATCAATATTTATGTATTTAAATAAGTAATAAAAATAAATGACTTATGTCATGTTTGCTTAATCCACTGTGCTGATCGAATTCTATTAAACCAGATTTCATGATGGTTGGAACTCGTAGCTAAGGTTTATTTGAAATGTTTGGCGGATTGATACTAACTGTGGGACTAGGACGGGCATCACCTAACTTCATAGCCTATAACGTTAATATTGGACTATACGGTTCAAAACTGATTTCCTGTAGGAATAAGATATCTATAATTGATCAATTACTATGTAGTGATGACAAGTATTATGTTAGTTTAGACTATTTTATAATGATAATCAAATTTTATTAATTAAGAAGTAAACAAAAAGGGCAATATTATGAATCAAATTGATACTAAAAACTTATGGAATATACTTGAAATACAAAGAAAAAGAAGTTTGTTTAGAATAAGTATTTATAGATTTACTTTTTATCTGCAAGTACTGAGAAGATGTTTCTCAATACAGTTTTGATTTATACAGAACTTACATTTTGACTATGATACCTTTCACCATATCGATTTCATCATAAATAATAAGGTGAATACTTTAGTTTCATTCACTGGCCGACTTATAAGTCAAATATTCCAACAATATATCCTCAGAACAAGTCAAAATTCAGACATACTGACGTCAGGTTATATACGATGTAAAGTTCATAACAATTGATAACGTATTATACAAACTATATGTTTGACCAAATCTAAATTACTGAACTTTTTACAGTAAGTAGTATATGCATCAATAAAATTAGATTGGAATTTGTCCATCGGTGCTTTATAATTCACATCCTTGGAAGTGACTTTATTTGATACTACAAATTCAGATGTATTAAGCTAGGACTTGGTCCTTCATGAGAGTGTCAAGGTCCTCGGCTCCAAGAAGAACCATCATTTAAAAAAAATGCTTATCCGTAGAGTCTGCGCAAGATTAAACAAAGGAAAAACAAGACAACAGTCGACAACAACTGAACAAAAGCAGAAAAAGTTGAGTGAAAAACAGTATTAGAGCTGATAAGCGGAGAGACATAGAATACTTGACAACTACAGCAAAAGTCTCCAACAAGAGGAAGAACTATATGATAGAACGAAGAAGCTAGCAGAGAAATATAGTAAACTAGAGTGACCATACAAAAAACGGGAGAAAGTAAACCAGATTTGAGAGCAATGGAACATGTGAGAAGAGGATTATGTAGAACATTTGAACAAACTAGCAAACCCACCGGACATCGATGTAGCATGCATAGATCTTCCCACAGATAATATCCTAATTAACAAAAACAGAAAGTAGCAGGACCGTCAGCCAAGTCAAGAATGACAAAGCAACAGGCCCAGACAGATTACCAGCTGCAGTACTAAAGTCAAAAATAAGGGTAACAGTAAAGATGCTCCACGTTCTCTTTAGAAAGATTTAGGAAGGATAACAAATGCCAAAAGACTGAAAACAATGATGGGTTATCAGGATATCAGAGAAGGATCTTAGTAAATATGAGAACAACCGAAAGATTATACTACCATCCGTTCCAAGCATAAAATCTTTCAGTGCTTAATAAACAGTAATCTTTATAGTCTTTTGAAATTGTTTTGAAGTTACTTTATTATCGAGCAGAAGAAACTTGATTCATTAAAAACAGGTAAGAAAACCGTTATATCACTACAGAGTATTCTCTAACCAATTTCCCTTCATCTCATTACATAGTTACATTACTTGTTTATCAAGTTAACTACCCATAAAATTCAATTCTGTAGAAGTATTTCTAATCAAGAAACATTATAGGTTGTTAAGGTAGCTGATGAAAGCTATTAATATGGAATACAATAAATCCATAATGTTCTGTTTAACTCGTCATTGTTCAGTTTTAATATCATAAAGGGGAACTGTGTGTAGGTGTGTACGTGTATTTATATGCATCAAACGTAGCACTTATATATAGCAGCTCCCAAATGTTTATAATTATAAAAATTACTTATGGACTTGACGGGATAAAATATAAAAATGATTAACCTGAGAACACATTCCAACGTTACTAGCAACTGAAGTCCGAGCCAAAGCACCAGATGAGGGTTGACAACGAAAAAATCCAGATATTATGTTGGACAAACCTAGTGCATTCAGTTCCTGTTTTGTAAACACAAAAACATACACAGACATCAATTATTGTTTGTATAACCCAAGACAATACAAATAAGGGAGTAATTTTTTGCCAATTATACAATCCTACCTACCTATGAATAATTATCACTACACTGAACATATATTGAACTATGGTGTACATTAAATGATATCATCAAGTTACAATTTTCCACGTCACGAATTGACCACAAAGCACTTAACAAAACCATGTCGTTTTAGTATGGGAATCATCGACAGTGAAAATCAACCTTCATGATCATGCTAACCATCATATCCTGAAAGTTCAAGTCTCGTGACGAACACTTATTCTTCAGACTACTAAATCGGTATCCAGTAGTTTACAATTTTAACCTTAATCAAACTCATTGAAATTCCCGAATATTATTATTGGTAATACCTGTCTCATGTTCGGAATGATGGAGTCGAGTAATCAAACAGGATAATTATAAAATGTTTCATGATTTTCAATGGTTTTCTAACCAAGGTTTAAACATGATGTGAAAATTTAGTCTTATAACAATTATATATGTATACTTTCCATTTAGTCCAACAGTTAGGTTACATAGTTTTGGTAAAAGTAACTCCACAAAAATTATCGATCTATAGAAGAAGAATTTAGGATGTAAAGTTTTAATGAAATAACAATATCGACAGATAAAATGTTTATGTTAGAGGTTCAATTAATGATCCGGATGAAATTTTGAAGTAGATATGTTGAATTATGTTAAGAACTGCACAATTCGTACATTATTGATTTCAACTAATACAAATACCAGATACATAAACTAACAATACACATTCACATTATGATTAGGTTAGCATCTACCTACAGAATTTGTGACGTAAAATACAACATAACTTTTAGTCATAGTTGTATTATACCCCGCCCCTCAACTATTCTTAATACAACCACCGAAAATTGAGAAGACAAAATCGAGAAGTTTCATCATGATGATACAATGAAGAACATACAAGTATTGAGTGAAATACTTGGTGTGTCATTGAGAAACATGAATTGAAGTTATATCTTTCGGAGAATGGAATTCAACCGTATTCAAGCACTCTAGAAATACAAAATGATAATCTAAAAAATCTCTTCTTGATTTAAATTCTTTGGAAACAATGAACTCTCCAGAATATACTTACCATTGTTAACAATGATGATTTTGATTAGAAAAACATAAATATTCACATGAAGTAAACTTGATGTAGAATTAATTATCCGACACAAGAAGTGAGAATTTTCATTTATCCCAATCTAGGATTTCCTAAGTGGATTTTTAAGTTTTTTGAGTTAACTGAGACTGAATTTCGGAGAATTTATTTTATTTATTTATTTAAACATATAAACATTATTACCAGGGGCACCAAATACATATTCGCCACATTCGATTTATGTGAGGGCTGGGATATTGTCCGGGTGCCCAAACCGAACCAGGTGGTTTTCTTAGGGAGCCACACCCGTAGCCTTTAACTTAAAGGTCTAATCCACAAGATAGTGGAGCAACGACAGGAGATACAGTTCCATTATGGCCGGTCACCAGTAATAAGTTCATACGTCATTTGTTCCTTTAGAATACTGAAGTCCATATGTACCATTGATTTGGAATGAGGGTTTTCCAACTCCCCTAGATGGACCCTCCTTATCCACCGACCCGGTTAAAGTGCCGGATATCTGCTTTTCGTCTTCTTAATGTCGTAAACAACACCCCCACCGCGAGGAGACAGTGAGTAGGACTTCCCTGTCATTGGTTGTATGCACGTGATCATATGAGAGCATTTCGAGAGGAAGAGTTGACTCTCCTAACTCTCGGCCGTATCAGGGAATTCGGGGGCGATTTCAGAGAAGCAACATGTGATTTTTTCGAAGATGTAATTTAAACCAATGAAATTATTCACAGCAAATTTTAAGTAGCACAGATCAAATCGATATTTTTTGAAGATATTTGCAAAATTAACCATTGCTTTTTCTAATCATAACACAACAATAAGATAATCTAAGTGGATGTTTATTATAATTAAGCAAATTTATAAAAAATAAACAAATACTGAAATCATATGGTCTACTTCTATCAAGTAGCCAAATAAAGATCGAATGATCAGCAAAATCATATATATATATATATATATATATATATGGATATTAAAGCTAAGTAAATATAATCATTTACTGTTTGTAAGAATAATGTTAAACATTTTAGTTTCATTAAGGAAATATACAAAAATGGTTACAATAGATTGATCACTAAGTAATAACCAATATCACGCAATGTCAGCTCCTTCTTAGTACAAATTGAATTTTATCGATCAACTTACAATGTAGTCATTAATCTAGGTGGCTTGATATCGTATAAACTATGTTGAAATGTAAAATGGTGTTGAGAGGTGGTCGACAGGAAACTGTAAACCTAAGTTTTGTACCATTTAGCACTCTGTACAACCCAGTGATACATCGGTGAAACTATAACATATGGACGAACAAATCACGTATAAAATAACAGGTCTCAGATTTTGGCGCGAAATTCACTCGTCCGTCCGGCTAAATAGATTCATGGCATTATAGCTGATGTCAGTTCATGATGAAAACCATAAATATAATTCCTAACCTTAATCATCAACTATAAATCATAATCGTAATTCCTCACACATGTGTATAACCCCCATTTGGTCCTGTTTATTAGGTAGACACTCTGAAGGTCAATCTGGAGTCACTCAAAGGTCGTCCATAAATTATAATCTCACCGATACATCAATTGTAAATACGTCCCAGTTTTACAGTCGCGGCCTGGCTAGCTCAATGTAATGTTTCTGACTGTGAAGCTGGCTGACAAAAGATCGAATCCACCAAGCAGTAATAATTCTTTCAAAATTACAGGTATATCTTGAGGACGAGTGCAAAATAGCAAGAAACCTACATCTTGGATTTCCTGGATTACCACGCACCACCTCCATACAAACCTGTTGTCATCTATATTGGAATCAAAGAATTTGTGTTCGATATACAATAGCACAAGTCTATTCTATTAGATTAGGTTATATATGAATTCTCAAAGCAGTAGACAAGTGAACCATCTTAGTTTTGGTCTCAAATAAATACTTGAAATCTAACATAGAACTGTGGGTTACGCGATGAGTGAGATCTCCTCATGTATCAAGTGCAAATAGATTGTATATTGAACATTGAGTTACACTTTAATTGTGTTCAAAAGCTAACGATACTTTCAGATTGTTCAAATCAAAGTAGATGGTGTTAAGTTAGATTTAATGACTAAATCACTGTTCTTTGAAGAGCTTTGGGTTAAAACAAGTTATTGAATGTATTTAATATATAATTGAAATTTTCATAAATGAAGTTTTTAAAAGTAATGTGTGAATAGATATTTCAATAAAACATACTTGAGTATAACCAACATTATAACCACCTTTCTTTGCATATAATTTAACCAAAGAAATTGTTGTAGCTAATGAAACAAACGATACAATCATTGATTCCATTAAAACTTCTGGTACTAGACGAATATCCGGTAATATGGGTGATGGTAAACTTCACAATAAAATAAAGTAAACATTATTTTAAGCCAAAAGTGAAATATGTAACTTATTAGTTATAGTTAGTTCATAGTTATATAATATAACCTTGTGGGTAAGGGTAATTTTATATTGGTTTTCAGGAGAACCAGACACCACCCAGAATTTCACATGAAAACCCGAACAGTACAGCTCAATCCCGTTTAACAGGAGAGCCAGACACTTCTAGGCTTAAATTTTATAACCCAAGCAGTACAGTTCAATCCTGTGGTACAACCCCACACAGGTACCAAGCATCCTGGTGGACCATTCACACTATTCATATATACATTCACGTCACATGTATATTTATTCCAATCAATGATAGCGTGAATCAACTACGCACAGCACGAACTGGCCAAAGTTGACCTATTCCGCTTACATGACAGTCAAACTCAATAATGTTAGCAATGGCGACATGACTTACAATGTCTCAATGACAATGGCCCATGAGAACACTGTAAAACAACCAGCAGTATGAATGAAATCGGTTAACTAGCAAAACAATTTTGTGCATGAGTGGTCAGCAAAACGTGCCAAAGTAATGCCGAACCATCCACAATATCAATGGTGAACCTCCAGTCTCATATGAGACCTTCGGCTCTACATAGCAATATATATAATATGTAACTTATTACCGAAACATATTTAAATGAATACATTAAAACAATGTAATGCAACTTATTTTAGAAGTACAACATTATACATTCAACTTTAAATTATATTTTATTTAAAAACTAATTATACTACTTAGCTATTAAAACCAAAGGGAAGGAGGAATGAGGTTTGGCGCCTATAACCTCAATAGATTAAAGAGGCATAAATATATCATATGCATAAGCTTACTTCCTATTGCAAGGTCAAACAGCAAATGACAAATTATAAACATGGTATACTATTTGAAGAAATTGATTATGCACTTGATTAAGGTCTCGTATTATGTGTCCTTATCTCTTAACAGGAAGAATAATCGTATACATATTTATGATTTGTATGTATTAAGATTAGTTTCAGTAATTAGATCTTCTTATAAATTACAGTCATCATAGTAAGTTTGGTTTAAAGTAGATAGTATATATTGTAACCATATCAGATAGTAGGCATTTAATTCATTCATACAAACCTTATTCTGAAGTTATATGCATAGCAGTTTAGTGGATTAGACTGTTTCTAAGTTCATATTCTTCTAGCCTATCATGTTCTCCTTACTTATTTACCTGGATTAAAAATATATGGAAGCCCTTTTTAAAACTACAGGAAAAAAAGATTATTTCACCGAGATTTCAACCTATTGAATTTATTATTTATTGATTTGAACACATATATACTGGTACAAGGAGACACCAAATATATATGCGATACACAAATTTTCATTTTATTTGTGTGTAGGCTTTGATACTGTCCAGGTGCCCAGACCGAAGCAGGTGGTTTTCTTAGGAGACCACTACCCGAGCCTTCAACCTAAAGGTCTGAACCACAAGGTAGTGGAGCATCGTAAGGAGATGCAGTCACATGGTAGCCGGTGACCAACGATTGGTTCATACGCCATTTGTTCATTCAGGATACTGGAGCCCACGTGCACCATTGATTTGAAATGAGGGTTTTCCAACTCCTCTAGGTGAACTCTCCGTGTCCACCAACCCGTCTAAAGCGCCAGATATCCGCTTTTCGTTCTCTCAATTCCGTAAGCAACACCCCTGCCACGAGATGGCAATGAGTAGGAATTTCTTAGCAGAGGTGATAAACGTGTAGCCATATGAGAGCATTTTATTTTATATGATTTCATATAAAAGTACTGTAATTATTTTATGAAAATTTTAACTTCATTCATTGCTATTGATAGAAGGGTTAACGATCACATTTTCAGTTAATTATACATCCACGATGTGAACGTTTTACATGATTACCATGCAACTAACTCATGTTATCCTATTTTACAAAAAATCACATTCAAATATGATTAGATTAACACAGTAATAGTTTTGATTGTTAAATAGCTATATATTTCTTTGATGATATTGGTTTTGATTATTACCCTGAAGAAGTTCAGATAAGTTAGCTGGACGAAACGTTGGAATTATTTAAATTTGAATTGAGAGAAAAAAATCTCACTCGCTATTCCAGCTTTTTCTTAACACTGTTATGCCCCGACAAGCATAATGAATGGTAACTTTTGGGATCCATTTATGGACCAATACTATGCGTATATTTTTATCGTATAACTAAACTATTTATATTCATGTCCCACTTATTATGAGATTTATTTTGACTTATGATCTGTTACTATATGATTTACCATTCTTGAGTTATGCCCTGTCTATCAATTACTATCTCCCACATTCACAGTCACATTTGGCCAAATCTTGTACAAATGTTGTTTCCTATTTTATTGGTACGATGTGGTCTGTTTGATTAGTATATAAACCCCGTACGTTTGAAATACATTATTTATATCGCAGAGGCTGAGATTGGTGTTCTGGACTTAACTGGTTGGGCTAGGCGGAAAGTAGGACCGATAAGTACTCTAGACTGCTCGTACGGGTTTTATGAGTCTTTGGTTCGATCGATAATTCACTGCTCTCTAATTGGCGGTATCGTCACGTTATACATTAACAGGGAACACAGGCCACAAGTTATAATAACACCTTAACAATTCACATAGTTGAAATAATCTTATTGGGTAATTTCTTTCACCCTTAGACTGACCAGTAAAATTACATAGTCACTTTTCTAATTATAATTTTAGGTTGTTTGTATATAAAAAGGTTATCTTTTCACTGAATAACAAATTCATTACAATTACAGTTTAGAAGTTGTCTTCTAACATTCTTGCACCTTAGTAAAACATAAGATAATAATAAGAAGAAGAGGGAAGCAATTATATTTGCTATCGATCCTTATGTTCTAGTTTCAGATAATAAGAACTAGTTTCTTTTACCTATTCAAATTAATTATTCTGATATATCAGAAGGGGTTTTGTGTAGATTTTAGAAATTTCAATAGTTGAAATCATGAGTCAATTGAAGCTAGACCATCATGGAAAACCTAGTATGGGACTCCTCAGCAGTGCGCATCCACGATCCCGCCCCCACCCCGTGAGATTCGAACCCAGGACCTATCAGTCTCTGATATACTAAACTAGCTTCGCCTCTCTCTCTCTCTCGATGATTAAATATTTCTTACTTTGGAATTATCCTGTTGTGAATGTACATGACTAAATTTTGAGCATAGACATAATTTGCGAGCAATCTGACCACATACCTTTACAAAAAGACACTGATGAAAACTGTTTTACATAATGAAAAAGATATGTACTACTGATACACTAGAAGTAGAGTTAATAAACGTGAAAGAATGCCTAAGAAAAAGTGGGTATCCAAAGACATTTATTGGGAAAAAGTGAAGATAAAATGTCTCAAGAAACATATTTTCATTTAACTTGAATTTAAAGATGATCCTGCAGTCAAGCTAATTATCCTGTATAAAACAATGTCCCATTTACTACACTCAAAAATCTATAGGTACCTCTTACATGTTACCGCCAACTGCATATATAAATGTACATGTACCGGCGAAAGCTGTTACATGGGTGGAACAGTAAAAAGCGTCTACATTCGATTCCAAGAACATATCCCAAAAAGTCTCCAGTTAATGGGATTTAAGGCTTTTAGCAGTGCTATTGCAAAAACATCTCTGTGATACACGGCATCAACTTCATAGACTAAAGTCTTTCAGCATCATCAATCGACAGTCGAATGTCGTTCTTCTCAAATTCACCAAAACCATAGCCATTAAACGACTAAAGATGAATTTATGTATTCAAAAGAGAACAATCGCAAATTTTTCCTTATCATGGTGATTTTATCCTCATTTTATTACATTATTTTTACAATCTTCTCTCTCTCCTATGTTAATTACATCACCTATTTCGAAGTGATGACCTCGAAATTTATTTTTTAACTGATTGATCCAAACTCATGTTATTTTTAATTGTTACCAATTTATGTTCAACTAATTCGTAATATAATCGACTCATTTTAATAGTTGAATCCATGAATCGATCTAAGCTAAAACCTGGATGCAATGTTTTAAGGCCGTCTCTTCTAGTATGGGAACAAGAAACATCATATAGCTTCTGTCCAACCACTGAGAAATCTAATAGAACTTGAAAATTCTTCAATCATAGGTTTACAAGCTGTAATATAAAGTCAAAAAATCAACTTTGATAATATTGAGATTCTAAATAAGTAATTTTTGGGGGATTGTTGAGTTTCATTGAAATTATGAACGAATATAAGTTAGACCACCATCGAAAATCCAAAAGTACTAGACTGCCGTTTCATCCTAGTACGGGACTTTTCGGCAATACTCATCCACGAACTTATTTAAAAAAGTTCATTAAATCACAGTAAAAATACTTCACATAAAATGGAATCCGAATTGTCTGAATGATAATGAAGGGTTCAGGTACAACTTAACCTGTATACAAAACCTCTCATCCACCAAAAGTATCAGCATAAATGCGGTGAAAAAATTTTTCGTCTCATCAATATATACTATTTTTAGAATCTATAGACTTATGAATATAAAACCTCAGGGTTTGAAACAACGATGTACACATAACAGTAGAGATGATAAACTGTAGCTCTTGATATCAATAACGGTAAAATAAATCATTCACAGATAAAATACATAACTGCTCCAAAATTCAGTAGCGATAATAACTTAGGAATTTACTGGATAACACGATGACATTTGAAGTGAAAGTTACTATGTAAAAGTCACTGTATGAACATCAGTAATGGGATGAGGTTGGTACATCCAGCTGACGAGTGGCAAATAGGACAAAATCAACATCCTGATTTCCATTGTTAATCACTATTCAACTTTAATACAAACCTTACAAATAACGTTAATAACACTGTATATTATCACATATATAAACGTAAAATATATTTCATTAAAACACACCCAACAGGAATTTCACCGACAATCGATACACCATAACGTTGATTTAATAAACCAAATTTTGATATAACAGTACCAGCAGTAAGCTGAAAAGATAATGAATAGATCAAGATAGTTATATATCAACATATAATCATTTTGACATAATTTATGATTTTAATAGTTTGGAAATTGTTCAAATTATATCAATCATAACAAAGATATAATGAAATAGTTCTCCCCTTTTCGGTGAATTTATTTCCAAAGCTGTACAATCGCATATATATATATATATATATATATATATATATATATATATATATATATATATATATATATATATGCGATTGTACAGCTTTGGAAATGAATTTGGCCTTCCCTTTTTTCGTTTCCTTTCGAGATTCCAAGTTAGCGCTTGCCACGTGATGCAGTTTGATGATTTATTCAATGTATGTCCTATCCATTTCCATCGATTTTCACTAATTTCCACTTCAGCTGGAAGTTGGTTTGTTCTCTCCAACAGTAAGTCCATGTAGGATAGTGCCCAAATATTCATTTATCAAGTGCACGCATCGTACGGCAAATAAAACCTGCCCCATAAGAAGTAAAATTATAAATGTAAGTTGAGGTGTCCAAGAGAGGCAGTTTATCCTTGAAAGTGCCATGAATGAGTTTCTTGCTGGAGAAAACAGTTCGAATCTCTGCTGAATAAGAAATATTTCTCATGGATCTAGACAATTTGTTCATTAATATATCAACTTCCATATCTTCCTTGACTTCAACGTTCAAGAATATAATTTTCTTCAGTAGTGTCGGAGTACTTCTAATTTGACGTATTGCTTTTAGACTGCCATCAATGAACTTGAACAGTGATCCATTCTCTAAGTTTTCGTACGGTTATATCCGCTCCCAAATGCCCTGGTATGGCCGAGAGTCGGGTTGGCCCGCCCTTGCCCTCGAAATACTCTCACATGACCACGCGTACACAGCATCTGCTAGAGCAGTCATACTGACTGCCTTCTCATGGCGTGGGTGTTGTTTACGAAATCGCGAGGATGAAAAGCGACTGTCCGGCGCTTTAACCAGATCCCAAACCAATGGTGCACATGGGCTTCATTACTCTCAGTGGAAAAATGGCGTATGAACCAATCGTTGGTCACCAGCAACCATGTGACTGCATCTCCTCACGATGCTCCACTGTCTTGTGGATCAGACCTTTAGGTCAAAGGCTCGGGAAGTGGTCTCCTAAGAAAACCACCTGCTTCGGTCTGGGCACCTGGACAGTATCAAAGCCTACACACAAATAAAATGAAAATTTGTGTATCGCATATATATTTGGTGTCTCCTTGTACCAGTATATATGTGTTCAAATAGGAAATAAATAAATAGGCCATATCCAGCTCATCATCAAGTGTGTCTTCAGTGCATATTCGTCTGGATCTTGAAGATAAAGAATAGATTAAATTTCTCTTCCTGCTCAGCGGCAACCAACTCTGGAAATTCGTATACTGCCCCTTTATAGGTTGGCTTTCCGTACAACGATCATTGCAGAAAATCACTTGATCTTCATTTTAGCAGAAGATCAAGAAGGTGGAATTCTGAATTGAGCTCCGATTCTATTGTGAACGTCATCGAGTGGTAACAATTATAACTGAGACCAATATATAAACAATTACCAATGGAGTAGTGAAACGAAGAATACTAGACCATCACTGAAAACCTGGAAGCATTACATGGCCATTTTGTCCTAGAATCTAACTCCTTGGTAGTGCGCATCCATGATCCTGAAGACGGGAGTCGAATCCAATACCTTCCGTCTCACATGTGAACGCTAAAATTCTAAGCCACTGATCCGACAGTCAAAAGTGTTAGTATACAACTTCAATCAAGCTACGGTACTGCACAACCATTTTCCATTTTCTTTGGTGGGTAATTGCCTCACACCTAATACAGATTATTTTCACTGTTCACGCCTTGTCATTGGAACTCCGGGAATTTTCTCTCGAAGGCAGTCATGAATGAGCACATAATTGTTATCAGTATAGGGGATTTGTAGAGATTGTTGAGTTTTATTGAAATCATACGCTAATCCATGCTAAGCGTTCGCATGCTGGACCAAAGGTACTGGGTTCGATTTCAGCGTTCACAGTTGTAAATGCACATTGCTAAGGATTCGCATACATGGACGAAACGACCGTCTAGTACTTCCAAGTTTTCAATGGCGGTCTAACTTAGATTCGTTCATGATTTCAATGAAACTCAACAATCTCCACCACCCTATACTTATGTTTACCATTGGTTCGATTATGTTCACTTAACAAAAATAACTAAATGAAAGACAAAGAGTTTCCTAAAAGACAACTGTATTCAAAAAATCAACAATTGGGGCTGATATAATTATAAATCCATAATTATAGCATCATTATTGACCAACAGAAGGCATACATGAATATGTTGTAAGTGAATTAGATAACACTATATGATAAATAGTTCACAATTACATCGATTACGGTCTAAATATATAACATATGCCAATTTCAAAATGTCACATAATAAAGGGTTATGAAAATTAATTGTAATATATTCACTAACAATTAATATTTTAAAAAATCATGTGCGTGTAATTCATAAATATATTCGGAGATATCTTACATAGGATTAATTGAGATTATAGTCACGATAGCAATGATAATAAAGTGATGTGAATATTCATTTAAACACAAAAATATTAATACGAAATAGCAGTAAAATCAACATTCGCCACACAGAATTTGTGTGAGCACTGGGTTGTTGCCTGTTTGATGAAACCAAAACAGGGAGCTCTCTATGGTGGCACTCTCTGAGCATTTTGGCCTACAGGTCTAATCCACAGAACATTGGCGCAACATTAGAAGATACAGGTCCTATAGTACCCGGTGACCAATAATAGGCTGGATCCTGGAGCTTATATGCAACATTCCTTTGGAATCGTGTTCTTCCGAATCCCCGAGGTAGATCCTCCGTATCCACTAACGCCGTCTAAGCGCTGGGCATTCGCTTATTGTCCTCTCAATTTTGTAAACAACACCCCAGTCGCGAAAAGGCAATAAATACGTAATCCCTGGCAGCGGCTATATATGCGTGGCCATATGAAAGCATTTGGAGAGGAAGAATAAACTCTTTTCAATTTCGGCCGTACCAGGGCATTTGGGGGAACTGTTTCCAAATAAATTATAATAATAGTGATAAGAAATGTCTAGCGTTGATCTCCGCACTAATGGAATAAATATTAGGAAAATTGAAACTTTCATAACGTCTTCAGATTATTATCCACATTTTTTATTGTTTAATTAGTAGATAACTGTATTGTTAAATTTGTATATTCCCCTTTATTGTAAGCTTTCATCGGATTTACTAACTATAGCTATATGTTTTATTGTCCCTTACTTATTGTTAATTAGTTATATGCTGTTTGTTTCTAATACTTATGGTATGACTGTGATTGAAGTATAAATTTTTAATTGGTATGTTGTGTGATCATTTATTTTAAGTTCATGATTAAATTGACAACGATAGCCAACTAATCTGCATTTTCTGATTACTTACTGAGTTAAGAGGAGTGTGAGGACTTAAAAGCGTGCTATTCATTCGCTAATGTGTCAATTGGTAAATAGATCATCAATCCTATTAGAAATATATAGGTGAACTAATAGATTCTTGAAATTCAGATTAATGAATTTAACATGTTGTATCGACCAGTGTACACAGTGATATATTTCAACGATTAGCTGAAGCGGTACAAATTCATGATATACAGAAATAGATAACATCTCAGAAAAAAACCTAAACTTTAGCGAATAGTTTTATAGCAGTTGGGTGCCGAGTTAATATAATCCAAACTTTTTCGAGGAAATATAATCAAATATCAAAATTATCAAATATAAACAAGTTCATGGTTCCCTAGTTAATTGTATACTAAATAATTCATCCAATCATATTAACAATATTGAAAGTAAGTACTTGTTGTATTGACTATAAGACATTTGATTTGTAAAGAAAAGTATGTTTATGATAACTGTTTATCGCCTTTGATCAGTGAATATTTGATGATAAAACGAACAATTTTATAGATGACATCAATTAAACATGTCATAGCATGCATTAAATGATTAGAGTTTACTTATGACTAATTAATAACAATAAAAATAAACATGAATTAATTGAAGTTAAACATTAATACCGTTAGATGCCAGTCTGCTCAGTAGTCTAATGGTTGATCCTGGGTTCGAATCTCGCGAAGCAAAATTATGGATACACACTATTGAAAAGTCTCATACTGGGACGAAACAGTCGTCTAGTGTTTTCAAGTTTTCCCTGATGGTCTAGCTTCAATGGACTCATAAATTCAACTATTAAAAACTAAACTTACTTTGTCTCTTTCTCAAACTTACCACAATTAATTCAATTGGAATTGTAAAACGTAATATAGTTGAAACTTTTGGATTGATAAAATGTTTAAAACACCATATAATTGTAATACATATTATTGATATTAATAATGTAACAAGATTAGTTTCTTTAATAATTTGAATAAAATTATTAATTATCTAAATAAATAAACAAACAAAAAATAAAACATTGATAAACAAAATAATAAAATATGTTCTCCATAGAAATTTTCATAGAAAAAATTCATCATTGATTTTAGTCACTAAGTCAGTCAGTCACCTTTAGTATACGATCGGATACATATATACATCAGTTCAAGTTGTCATATCTCATTAACATAGTAAGATAAACACTGAATTTATAGAAGTAGTTAGTTCAATGGTGATAATATATAAAATGAAAGATTGTATATAACGATATCATACAGGAAGAAAGAATTAGATAATAAAAAGAAAGATATAAAGCTAGTTTAATCACATAGTCACTAATCAAATGAGTGAATAAATGAATTTACCTTTATTTATCCTACTGAAATGATTCATGAAGATTTAATTAATTTGAAATTACTATTCATGAGAATAAATGGAATAATTGTTATGTTTTGTTATATCTGAAGAACATAAAGATATGGGTAAGTTCCAGGAACTATTTATAAACTATTATTATAAATATAATCTTACTGCTTAAATGTTAATTAACTAGATTATATATATTCATATTCCTTTGATTATAACCTTTAATTTGATCTATTGGTTCAGTGGTCTGTTGGAATATCTGGGCTACTTGTTTCTACCATCTAGATATTTCAACAAGTGATTTGTTTCTTTATTTGTTTTCACATATCATTATGTCAATTAATTAATTTATTCAGGTATATTTGTGAAACGTTTACAACTTTTTGCTGTACAAATTTTAAAAATGTACAAACGGAGGTAGCGTGATGATTACCAATGAACATTGAAAAGTATTCGTATCATTTAAATGTATGGGGCGGAAACCTGGAAAACTACGAAATCCATCGTCCAAAAGATACAGGTGTTTATTAACAGTTGTCTACGCAAAATACTTCAGATCCGCTGTCCGGACACTATAAGCAACAACCTACTGTGGGAGAGAACAAATCAGAACCCAGTGGAGGAAGAAATCAGGAAGAAGCGCTGGAAGTGGATAGGACAAACATTGAGGAAAACACCCAACTGCGTCACAAGACAAGCCCTCATATGGAATCCTTAAGGTTGAAGGAGGAGAGGAAGACCAAAAAACACATTACGCCGGGAAATGGAGATAGATATGAGAAAAATGAACAAGAATTGGATGGAACTAGAAAAGAAGGCCCAGGACAGAGTGGGTTGGAGAATGCTGGTCGGTGGCCTATGCTCCATTGGGAGTAACAGGCGTAAGTAAGTAAGTAAGTAAGTATTCAATATTTATCATCAATATGGATCAAGAAATAAGAAAAGGAAACCTGTTGAAATAATTTGTACTGCGAATTCTATATTGTATTAAACATATAATATTGAATAAAGTTTGTAATAATAAATAATAAGTAAAATTATCATATGATTTACTATTCTTAAAATATTCTCAATTTATTAGTTACAGTCTCTCACACTCACAGCCACTGTTGACTTGATTTTATATAATTGTTATTTTATATTGATGGGATGATGCGGTCTATTTCGCTTGTATATAAACTGAGTATGTCTGACATACATGATTTATACAATGGAAGCTGACATTGTGTTCTGGACTCAAATGGGTAAGGCTAGGAGAGAAGAACTAACAAATACTTAGTATTGACTCTAGGCTATTTGTACTGTTTTATGAGTCATTGTCTTGGTACGATGCTAAGGTCATATAAATTGTGTTCTAATTGGCGGTCCTATCATGTGGTAAATTAACCGGGAAAAATGTCATAACAATTGACGACATGAATTTCGGCGAAAAATAAGCCATAATCATTGTCGGGGTTCTTTCTGGAGTTAAAAGAAAATAATACTAATAATAGTAACAATAAAAAATGGTGCTCTCTTCAGAACAATTGCAGTTACCATTATAGCAGCAGAATGAGATGTTAGCTTCTCAACAACTTCTAGAAGCAGTTTTGGAGAAACTTCTTATTCAACAAGATATTACAGAAAATAAAAGTATAGAGTCATATCTCAGTCCAATGCCTGAATTTATTTTTAATCCAGGTGGCGTTCATTCTTTTAAAGCATGATTCGGCAGAATAGAAGATATTTTCGAGTAGAATTCGCTGCCATGGATGACGCGAAGAAAGTCCGGTTGGCGCTACAGAAACTTGGTCCTAATGAGCGTCAAAAGTATAAAAATTATATCCTGCCTAAACAGCGACGGAAAGTTAATGTCGATGAAACTGTTAACATTTGAAATAAAATGCTTTATGAGCAGGTGTCTACAGCTGAATAAAGAAGCTGATGAAGACTACACTGCACACGCTGGAAGAGTAAATTTACAAGCGGAACGATTTAAATTAAATGTATTATCCAGCGCTCGATTTAAAGGCTTATTATTCATTTCTGGTCTGAACTCTCCCATAGATGCTGGTTTTTGCATGCAGTTTACATCCCGTATGGAATATGACGATGAAATGACGCTACAAACTGTTACTGCTGAATGATAACTATTAATACACCTGAAACAGGATACAGCTATGCTCTTAAGACAGGTCGAAGACAAAATAGTACCAAGAGTTATAAATATCACTCGAAACCTTTCAAACCTCCAACTGAATGTTGATATTGTGGTGCGTGACACATCAAAAATTTGCCGGTTTAGAAATTGTAGATGCACCATATGCATACGCATAAACCAGTACGAATAGCCTAGAGTCAATACTAAGTATTTGTTAGTTCTTCTCTCCTAGCCTTACCCATTTGAGTCCAGAACACAATCTCAGCTTCCATTGTATAAATCATGTATGTCAGACATACGCAGTTTCTATACAAGCGAAATAAATCGCACCACACAATCAATATAAAATAACAATTATATAAAATCAAGTCAACAGTGGCTGTGAGTGTGAGAGACTGTAACTCATAAATTGGGAATATCTTAAGAATATTAAGTCATATGATAATGGTCAATAGGTCAAATCAAAGCTTTTAGTAAAAGGAAGGTATTGATTTCGACTGCAGCGCGTAAACGGGCACTACCGAGGAATCCCAAACTAGGAAGAAACGTCTGTTCATTGCTTCCAGGTTTTCAATGTGATTTAGTTTAGGTCGACCATTGATTTTAACTGTGAAAACACTACAATTTCTATAAATCCCCTATAGTAATGTTCATTTGCTTAACGGAAGTCGATTTATATGTTATACACTATTTTATTACTAGTTTGCCTTAGTCTAAAATATTGGAGGAATAATTATTGTTTTCGTAAATCTATGTTCTTGTCAGTCACTAATTTTGAGAGGTAACCTTTTGAGTCATAGTGAGAAGCAGTGTGCAGAGGAGCTCAATTATGTTGGGCGGGAGCCAGGCATCTAATGAGAATTGCGCAATACTGTGAATTATGAATGTAAACTGTTGGATACCAACTTAATTGTTTAAATGTTAAGCGGAGACCGTTAGCATCAAAGGTCTTTGGGTTCTATTACAGTCGTTGAAAAAGTTCCATACTAAAACGAAACAAATTTTAATAATTACCTAATAAAAGTCAATATTCATGATGTAGAACTTCAGAAAACCATTTTACTAGAACTCCGATCATTGAAATGTACTTTTAAGTAATAAGTCACAATATGTTATTTCAAAGATCAAGATACGTCAAATAAAAACGGTCATATATTTTGAAACTTACATAAAAAACACGGAAAGGTCCTGTAGCATGATTTAATCGTATACCAAATAATCCATTTAATTGACTAGTGAACACATGAACAGCAGATGCACAAGTGAAGCCACTTAATAGTGGTTCCGATATATAAACTACTAATACACCAAGATGAAGAACACCCAAAGCGACCTTGAAACCAGTGATCAGAAGTAAGAAAATATTGAAGAGAAACAATAAAAAGAGGATAAAAATTCAGTAATAAGTACATATTAAAGAAGAATGAATAATTTTAGACTTTATAACTTTAAAATAAATAAATTACAATAATTTAAAAACTACAACATTTTGTATGGCAACAGTTTATGAAGTCATTAACTTAAGCAGAGATGGACGGTAGTTAGCAGTGGAATCTAGGATGGGAGTTTCATCCTATTCAATACTCATTAGCCGGATGCATCTGCATTGCAGAGTTGATATCCATCTTGAAACTCGAACCTAGTACCGACCACTTCAAGGAATATCGCGTTATCTACTTAGCTACTAAGTTCAAATAGCCACTGGTTTGTGCAGTGTGGTGGATTTTAATTCATATGCATAAACATCTGGCTGACGAGTCCCAGACGGAAGGAAACGCGCGTCCTGGGTGCCACTGCTAGCCACCATTCACTTCTGTTTAAAGTGATTGTGAATTGATGACAATATCGAGACAATCCACAATGGATGAACATATACCAAAATGAGACTGATCATTCGCAATCTCAAACATCAATGGAAAGATGAAACAACAAATATACATATGAATTAAAAGTCATTAATTGTCTATCCAAGTAATGTTGTTAGGTGTACACCACATGCATTTATAATCTGTGTGATAATGATTGGAGATGGATGAAATAGCTAGAAATCAGTCTGTGTCGTATATGGATTAATCATTCATTCTACCAAAAATTTAAAGTTGCAATAATACCCCATTTCTTTTATTCAGTTAGTTCACTCCTTTATTTTAAACCGAATTCTTTAATATTAAGCCTATCTTATTATCACTGATAGAATAAATATTAGTTCGACACCTTCGCTGTTTATCTTACTAGTTGCATCTCATTCGCTTTATTTGGTGTGAAAACGAACAAATAAACATTTCTCCTCGATCCGAACTTGGTTACGACTGACTGACATACACTTCAATCTATACAGTTTAGTGAAATCCAATGGAATTCAGATCAACTGCGTCACAATAGACACACTGACATAGACTCAATCTACCAAAATTCTTCAGGAAAAAAACAAGTCTATTTCATTAGTAAACGTGAATATCCAAGTCGAAATTCCTAGTTTGTACCTCTATTATCACCACCAAGTTACCTGATAACTAACCTCTGATTTCTTCTAAATATACAAAGGTAAAGTTTAAATCTAATCGCCACTGTATTGAAAGAAGTCATGAGTAGCGTTAACCAATTTATCATTATGTAATATCACACAGTGCATTTGTAAAACAAAAATAATACATTAAATACACTATTTGCACATCTTCATTGAGTTCTCCCATACAAACTCTGTCTTTCTTTCATTCCTAATTTTATTTCGACTGCATTCTGTTTTCCTTTCTCTTCTCTTTATTTTCCTCTTCTGTTTGTAAGAATTCTACTTTTAATCACTGATACATACTACTTATTTGTCCATACAAGTAGCATACACTATACTATGGCTTCCGTAAATCGTAATAAGGCAGAGTTAATTTGTCTGTTGAAAAATTTGAATGGATTCATTTTATCCACTGTTTGACACATGTCTAGTAGTTGGCATGTTACCGAAGTACGAAGTCTGTTTTATCCTCTGAGGTGTACACTTTAAGGAATATGTTCAACAAAATGTGCAAACTCCTGATTTTTTGCTTTTGTATGTGCCCATATAAACTGATACATGCAGTTGTAGGTGGAATGTAACGCGTATTTATCTTTGTTCACGTTACTGAGCATTGCGTTGTGTTTGGTGGGAAAGTACTCTTTACAAATCTGCCATTAGTCCTTGATTGGTTCTTTTGATGACTTCAATCACGTTCAAAAATTAATCGGATAGTTATGTTTCTTTTCAAATTTGTAAACTTTCATCTTACTACGGTATTCAATAATGTATTTCAGCGTAAACATTTAAGGATATCTATTTTCTCGAGAACAACTATCTATGACTGAAAACCCACCTCGAGCTTCCTTTCCTGGCTCACTAGTAGAGCGTTTTCATCAGCCCATATTTAAAGTTTACAGATCGAAGTTTTAAATATTGTTTCTGATGTATATACACACCAAATCTGATTGAACAATACCAATCATTGATTAGTAAGGAAAAAATGAAGGAAGTTGAAAATTTTATGATTTATTTCAGAATCGATTGGAAATGAGTAGGAATTTTGAGACAGTTCTCATCACATTGAGAATTAGGGAGTAGTAGTGCACAGACATTTCATTCTAGATTGGGAAACCACAACAGTGTGCGCTAACCTTATCTCTATTATTTATATTTATTTATTTGAACACATAGATATTGATACAAAGAGGCACCAAATATATATGCGTAACACGAATCTCATTTGATTTGTGTGAGGATTGTGATACTGCTCGGGTGCCCAAACTGAAGTAAATGGTTTTCTTAGAGGGCCACACCCGAAGACTTCGACCTAAATGTCTGATCCACAATGCAGTGGGGCAACGTAAGGAGATGCAGTCACATGGTAGCCGGTGGCCAATAATTGGTTCATACGCCATTTGTCCACTGAGGGTACTGGAGCACATCTGCACCATTGGTTTTGAATCAGGGGTTTCCAACTCCCCTAGGTGGACTCTCTGTGTTCACTCACCCGGTTAAAGCTCCGAACATTCGCTTTTCGTTCTTTCAATTCCGTAAACAACACACCTACCATGATAAGGCAGTGAGTGGGACTTCCCTGGCAGAGGCTATATAGGCGTGGCCATGTGAGAGCATTTCGAGAGGGAGAACGGACTCTCCCTACTGTTGGCCGTACCAGGGCATTTGGGGGCAACCTTATCTCTACAACAAACCAAACAAGCAAGTATATCAGGATTAACACAGTTATCGTTGACTTTACTATACGTACATCATCTTATACCACAGATTGAATGAAGGTAGTAATATAGATGGCGCTTGCTACGAAAACCCAGGTCACTAAGTTTAATTCTAAGCAAGAACGTTCCTGGGTGCTAATCGATAAGTTCCCGGTAATGATAAAACACCCGTTCACTTATCTTTGCTTTGAAATAATTTCCTAATTCACAAAAGTCTAAAATCTTAAAAGTGAATCAGTTAAATAGAAAGAAAAATGAGGTTCCATCAGTGATTAAATATTTAAAATGTATAGGAATAAATTTTTCAATGTTCACTATAAAATATATATACATGATAATTACAATAAGATTAAAAGTATATATTACTTAAACTTACTTGAAATAATCCAGTCAATATACAAACTGTTATAACAACAGTTAAACGAAAATCATCTATTTGTTTTTCATTAAAAACATCATATTTTTCTAAAGAATGATTATTTACATCATATAATGATGTTAATCTATCAACAGGATCAGCCGTTAAAAGTGAAACAACAGAAAATGTACCTATAAAAGTATAAAATTTCAATGAATTTTATATGATGAATAGGTGATATTAAAAAGAAAATTTATATGTTTTTCATGATCTTATAAATCGTTAAAAAATAAAATATATTATAATTAGATTGGTTGAAGTTAGACATTAACACCGTTGGATGCCAGATACCTTAGTAATCTAGAGATTAAGCGATCGCGCACAAGACCGATAGGTTCTGGGTTCGGATCTCGCGAGGGACGGGATCGTGGGTGCGCAGTACTGAAGAGTCCTATACTAGGATGAAACGACCGTCCAGCGTTTCCAGGTTTTCCATGATGGGATAGCTTCAATTAACTCATGAATTCAATTATCAGACCATGAATTTTTATACCTGCAGTAATTATGCAATGGCTAAGAGTACAATAAAGACATAAAGCACGAATAGGAAACAAACAAAAATATATTTCAGAATTCAAAATAATAAAAGTTGATGTAGTAAGAACGTTTGTCTATCTATAAAATGTACATAAGAATACTTTAGTGTCTTTTCTAGATTATTTGGTAGCGCTGATTAGTTTATTAATGAACCAATCATCAGCTTATAACTACAATATGAACGAATCACGATTCTATCCTGTTAATAGTTTTAATCACCAAATGGTGAGTACAACGGCTGGTTGATGTATTCGAGTTCAAATAGCTCAGTAGTATATCTAACTATCATAAAAAATTTGTCGCTTAGAGACGGGTTAATTAATTTTTACTGGATAAACAAATCATATTCATTAATGAGTGATTATGAACTAATAACTTGGTTACAAATAATTTTAAAAAGTTCCAAAATCAATAGACTAAAAACTCTAACATGTAAATAACCAAATGACATAAACTGTATAATTAAAAACAAAAAAAAAAAACATGATACCATAAAAAGTATCCAAGATATTAAAGTTATTTAATTGATCCTTTTATGTAGGATTATACTTTCAAAAGTAATATTGAAACCTTTATGATAGACAAAATTTATTTTCTATCAAATTTTCTATATTTAAAAACCTTAATGACATCTATAGAACATGAGTGATGTATATCTTTGATCAGTAACAACCATCACACTGAACTCTGAGCATTAGGCATGATACAATACACAAAATGGTAAGTAGTAATTGAATTAGTATCCTTAGATATATCATCCCTTTTATATTTACGCGACTCAACTAAATGAAAAGGGTAATGTTCAAAAGTCATAATATTGACCGTTTTGAAAAGAAGTAAAGGGCATAATATATTTATTTTGCAGGTATGAATTCGTACTCGACTTTAAAAAGCATCACTTGTATGAGGACCGATGCAAATACTCAGCTGTTAAAATCAGAATTTAAGAAGAGCGTCACATTTCAGGTTTATTGGTTGAATTACAAACCCTTCATCATTAACCTGTTTTTCTGCGAGAATATGTTAGAATCGGTATAAGTGAACCATGGAAAAGAAAAAAAATACTGAGTAGGTTACACGAAATGTTAAGTATCAGGCAAAGTTCATGGAAGTCAAAAGACCATATCCCCTTCTGAGAATCAGAGCAACAGTTAATATAGGTACACGGAAAGTCCAGACAATGTGGGGGATTTGGAGGATCAGTCAAATAGCTGTGGAAATGAGCAGATACAACATGGAGGCTTTCGGCATAAGTCAAACCAATTAGACCCAATCTGGACAGAAAACATTAGATTCGGAAGAGATGCTGTTGTACTCAAGTCATCAAGAATAAAATGTGTTGCACACACTGAGTTGCACTGATGATGTACAAAGAATCAAGAAAAGCATCCATAAGATGAGAGTCTCATGTATCCAAAATGTATCCTCCAAAACAAAGTCGAGTACCACAATGAATTTTATCCAATGCTATGCCCCTACCAATTATGGTGATGAGGACAACAAAGATCAGCTTTATGATAAGTTACAGTCGATCGTAAAGAAGTGCTCAGGAAACGACCTGACAACCATGATGGAAGACCTAAACGCCAAAGTCGGAATGGACAACAGAGTATGAAGATATCATGGGAAGACATGGACTAGCAGAAAAGAACAAGAACGGTAAGAGATTAACAAACTTATGTATATTCAACAAAATAATTGTAAATAGCATTATATTCTTCCACAAACGTATAAACATACATACATGGGTCTCACCGAATCACATTACGCAGAACAAGATCGACCATATTTGGATCACAGAGTCAGATCCATGGAGGTTGTGAGAACAAATAGAAAAGCTGACATAGTTTTAGATTATCACCTAGTGATTGAAACGATGAAAATCAAAGCTTAGAGAGCACTGGACAACAGGAGAAACAGCATTACGAAAGTTTAAAACAACCTTCGAGATACTGACAAACTGAGAGAATTCAAAGTAGCTCATAGCGGCATGTTCCAAGTCTTACAAGATCTACTCAAATGACAGGAATCTACTATGGAGAACAACTGAATATAGATCAAAGAAGCACTAACTTCAACGTGTTAGGAGGTCCTGAACCGCAAGAAGCCTCACCATGAGGAAAAGATCTTTATCGAAACCATGGGCCAAATACAAAGAAAGAAGAACAAGAAGACAGCAATTAACAACAACTGAACAAGAACAGAGAAATCAAGGCACAAGCTGAATACACAGAAGCAAACGAACGAGTAAGGAAGAGCATTAGAGCCAACAAGCAGAAATACGTGGAAGAGCTAGCAACGACAGTGAGAAAAGTTTCAAGAGAAGGAAATATGAAACAGCTATATTACACGATGAAGAAACTAGAAGGGAAATACAGTAAGCCTGAGAGACTAGTCAACAACAAAGAAGACAACCCAACCACTGAAATTTAAGAACAGAGGAACAGATTGGTGAAACACTTCGAGGAGCTCTTAAATAGACCAGCCCCATCGAATCTACCGGATCTCGAAGCAGCACCTATAGATCTTCTTATAGATGACAAACCACCAATGATCGAAGAAATCAGCATGTTCATCAGACAAATCAAGAGTGGAGAAGCAGCAAGACCCGAAAATATACCAGTCGAAGCACTAAAGTCAGGGATAGACGTAACTTCACAGATACCCCACGTTCTATTCAGGGAGATTTAAGAGGAACAACGAATGCCAACAAACTGGAAATAAGGACACTTTATCAAGATCATCATCAAAGAAAGGGGATCATCTGAACATGTGTGAGAACTAAAGAGGCACCATTTCATTAGTAGTATGAGGAAACATTTACAACAGGGTGTTACTGAACCGGACGAAAGACTCAGTAGAGGCCCAACTTCGAGATCAACAGGTTGGATTCCGTATAGATCGATCGTGTCCAAACTAAATTGCGATCATGAGAAAGCTTTTGATAGTGTGTATAGGAGATCCTTCGTCGATAACATAATGTATATGAGGAGATCATCAACATCATCCGGAATTCATACGACAGACTACATTGCAAAGTTGAGGATGGAGGACAGCTCACAGATGCATTTCAAGTGAAGACCAGTGTCTGGCAAGGCTGATTACTCTCACACTTTCTCTTTCTACTGGTGATCGACTGGTTTGTGTAGATCTTCACAACCTAGGTGAAGCATGGAATACGATGGACAGATTGGCTACAGCTAGACGATTTGGACTTTCCGGATTACCTAGCTATACTATTCCGTGCACAAAAACGAATGCAGGTGAAGACCACAGTATGGCAGCAACCTCTGCATCAGTAGATCTCAACATACACAAAGGAAAAATTAAGATCCTCAAATACGACACGGAGAACGCCAACTCGATCACATTTGAAAGAGAAACTCTGGAACAGGTGGATACTTTTACGAACCTGGATAGCATCATCGGTGAACAAAGAGGATTGGATACAGATGTAAAGCTAAGGAATGGTAAAGCAAGGACAGCATTCCTGTTAGCCAGCATCAAAATTAGAATTTTCAATACGAACGTCAAGACAGTTCTACTGTACGGAACTAAAACTTGGAGCATTACTACAACCATCATCTAAAATATACTGGTATTTATAAACTGCCTACGCAAGACATTCAATATTCATTGGCGTGATACCATCAGCGACAACGTACTTCGCGAAAGAACAAACCAACTACCAGACGAGGAAATGAAAAAAATATGCTGGACATGAGTTGGACATAGATTGAAGAAATCATCAAACTGCGTCGCGAAGCAAGCAATGACTTTGAGTCCTAAAGAGAGACGGGGAAGTGGAAGGCCAGAGGACACTGCGTCGGGAATCGGAAGCAAACATCAGAAGAATGAATAACAACTGAAAAGGATTGTCCAGGACAGAGTTGGATAGAGAATGCTGGTGGACAGCCTATGCTCCTTCGTGAGAAATTATAAGCAAAGGTCAGTCGACTTTTTCTTTACAAACAGTCTAAACGAAGTTACATCCATTCGTAGTTAAGAAACTCAGTCTCATGAACTTAAGATTAATTCCATTTAGTAAGCTTATTTTTACATATTTAATAATATTGTTTGTATGTTATTTAGTCAATCATGACTGTAAAATCCTATGGTGTATTATTGAAGTGTTATATCTCCTTATTCTGCTTACTTGTTTTACAGTTTACATGTAAACATATACTAAGCTTTTAGTTTAAAGGGTTAGAGTGTTGGCGAAATTGAGTTGTTGTTTGTCAATGTATAGAGCAAAACAATGAAAAGATATTACTTTCAATAATTATTATGGATAATGCTAGTTTGACCGAATGATCAAAAAGTAATAAAGTATCAAGCATCCAGCCTTCAACCGATAAGTTGTGTCTGCGCCACTACACATGTAGCATGGCTCAGAGCTGAGTATATAAAACTGTTTATACTGATTTATCTATCTTAAAGGTCATTTATAGTCGTAATAATTCAATGATGACATCACAGAATATGAAGCTAAGTAGCGTGAAATTAAATTCTATAGGAAGTATTAATCTCATCTGGACTACAATTAGGCCTTCTCAAACAGTGTAGAATAACATAGTTTTCTGAAAAATACCTCCAACTACTTAACTTCAACCTATGCTTGGTAAATGACTTCATTAAAATGATAAAAAGCCTACCTATAGAGACATGGCGTGAAGTCCCAAAAAAGAAGTAAATCAGAGCAGGAAAAAATGAGGTGTACAATCCATTGATGGGTTTCACTCCGGCCAAAACACCATATGCCATTCCTATTGTTTAAAAAGTGGTTAGACTCCAACTAAAATACCAAACCTTGGGGTATATGGACTATTGAAAGTGTTAAGCCAGCAACCAGATCTGATACAAATGATTGTAGGCTATAAAAAGGAGCCAAAACAGAATAAAATGGGAAAACAAAGGATAGAAGGCTAGCGAATTTCGAACAAGTGCAATTTTTCAAAACTTTATACGGCGAAAATCTTTTGTGTACTTCTGGCGATTTAGGATAACGTTGTAGAAATTTGTCCATATTATAAATTTCACGAGTTATGGAATATTTTCTTTCCAGTAGAAGATTATCAGCATCTTCATCACCAATTGACATCTAAAAAGCTTAAAGATAATGCGTGAATGAGATTACGAAGACTCAAAAAAACAATGGTTATACGTAAGAAAACTATTTATCGGTCTATCAAGAAAGGAAATATGCCGAAAAAAGTAAGACTACGCTGACACTTTCGCATAGCCTTTATCTGAATCCATTTATTACAATCTCCAAATATTCACCTACGGCAGTTTCGCTAAAGTAATTCCCAAGTCCCTCTGAGAGTACATAAATGCATATAAATGATAGCAGTCATTTATGCGATGCAGCTTATTGAAATTATGTGTACCCTAAAGTTTTAGTAGGTTTGTTGATTAGTGGTTAGAGCGCTCAGCTTTTATCCAACTTCAATTTGGAGAGTACAAGCCCTTGCCCCAGAACCGATTACATATCCCCAAAGTAAAACACGTCAGTTACACTGTTAAACTAGTAACTGACGGTTGATCTTTTGTGAAACACTCAAAAAATTCACCAAGTTATGACAATGTAAACTAAATGATCACCCTTTATGCCTACATAATTTGAATCTACCCTTTAGTAAAAGGCAGCTACGAATTCTAACCCAACAGTCCAAGGTTCTAGATGTATTACTAATTGAAACACATGAGATGCGAAATACATGAATCAAGCAACTATGGAAACTGCACAATAAAAAACAAATCCATCATTAAATTCTGAACTACGTACGCGCAAAAAAATACTTGAGGGCAAAAATTTAACTACAACAATTTCAATACCCACTTACTTCATATAAAAAGCACAAATGTGAACATTACGATCACTTATCGCATTTCAAGACATTTGCACTTAATCGCAGTATAAAATAATACTAAAATATGAGCAAATAAAAAATTCTTTGGCAACTGTTCATCAAATCTTTCTAATGTTTTGAAAGTAAAACTTTTAAAATAGTGAAATCAAAATGGTTTTATCTAATGTCTGCAATTACTTGAAAATAAACAATGATCACCAAATGCGCACTTTATTTTTAAAATAAAATCCAGTAGTACAAGTAGTTTAGACCTAACTAATGAACCAAAAATAGGAACACTGAAAGATCAGGAACAAATAAGAATAGTTATTATGCCAAGGATGTAACTCATAAGAAAATAAACTTCCGACTTAAGTCCATGTTTTGGTATTAAAGCTCAACGATGTGTAATGTAAGATGTGTAATGTGAGATGTCACTTATAACTTTTGATGAATTAAGTGTCATTTCCCCTGTTACCGATGGATGAAACTCTAGAGTATATCTATTAAAATCTCATGGTTCTCAACATAACAGATTAATAAAGAATTTTAAGCAAACAACAGAGAAGGCGAAATTTCTGAACGCGACAAGATTACGGCGATTTTATCGTGGCAAACTAAATAACAGAATATACCAGTCTAATATGAGTTAAACATAAAGGTATTGAAAACAACCTAATCTCCTAACGTCGCAAAGTCGAGAAACATAAATGTGGCGATCAAGAATTATATGTGTGTCAATGCTAAATTTAGCTAAACCCAAGCTCCCAATTTTGGGGAAATTTTGGGAAGCTTTGGGGATATTTTGGGGAAATCCCCAAAGTTAAACAGCCTTCCGCAAAGTTTGGAAAAATTTTGGGGAAATCCACAATTATTGGGGAAATTTTGGGGAAATACCCATAATTTTGTGGAAATTTAGGGGAAGAAATCCCCAAGGTCTGGGGAAATTTTGGGTAAATCCCCAAAGGTTGGGGAAATTTTGGGGTTTTTGTGCCATTTCCCCAAAATTTCCCCAAAGTTTATAATGGCGGCTTCCCCAAAATATCCCCAAAATAGGTAAAATTTTCCCCAAAATTGGGAGCTTGGGATAAATCACGAACTGACATCAAAAATTCATATTAGGTTATGCTAGACAAAGTTTGAACAAATTGATTGACGGAAGATATTTATTAGCCCATATATCAAACAATATATTTGAACTTATTTCGTTCGATATCGAAAGAAATAAGTTCAAAGATGAAGTTCAAAAACAGGATCCCAAATACAAATTAAATGCAGATAATATTTTGTAGTTGATCAAACTTGTAATAAATTTTATGATCAGTGTACACCAAATAACAGTTCTAATACAGTTCATGAGTATACAAAACACATATGAAATCAACGAACTCACCAAAAACACCACTTGAAATACCGCGAGATTTAAAGAATATTTACTGAAGTAACCAAACACAGATTTCAAAAGTTCATATAATTCTGCACGAAATGGAAAATACTTTCACTCAAACAGTTTCCGTATCCATAAGTAGTAAAGTGCCGATATCTTTAGACATAGAAACTGTGGATATTTAACAATAATGAAAGAAATATTTGTATATTATTAACAGATACTGTCCCGAGATTCATCTTGAAAGTCACCTAGGAAGTCGCTTAGACCACTTCAAGCAACAACAAATTTCAAAATTCAACTTCTGGTAATGAGTAGAAGATGTGATCACAGACCATTCTGCTATTTTGTGCCACTGATTTCTAGGTGTTGCTCCAAACGTATCTGTTGGCACATAGCTTAAACAGCTGTTTAAGGAACTGTTAAACAGTGTTCAGAGTGTTCATGCTTATTAAAAGCTCACCTCTGATACACCCATACTGCAGTTGGTAAAGATGTGATCGTAGAATATCAAGACTTTTTAGTGACCTACTTTTGTCAACAGAACGCGATTGGTTCAATGAAAACAATTATTACTATAACCAATTGCACCAGTGATTGTTTTACTGTGCTCGTTCGTTTAACTGTGCTAATGATAGCCATATTGGCCTTCCATTGAACTCCATTACTTTTCTGCGCGGTTTGTGACTTTACGCACGTACTTTTTCCTGCTGATCCCACTTGTACTCCTTTGGCACGATCTCGGTATTCTTTCGATACCACGAGATCGACAACGAATAAACTTGGTTACGAACTACTCTCGCCTGCTTATTTATTTGGTACGCGCTCAACTTATAGTGGTGTTCACGGTCAATCGCGACTCGACACCACGCTACGACTTCCTGAACCATTTCAATATGGTGAAATTCTAGAGAGGCATTACGTAAGTTGTACGTATGACTCATATGGACTGCTTGAAGTGTTGAAGGTAAGTCCGATGTTATTCACCCAACTTTGAAGTCGAGTAAGATCATCCTGAAATGTCAACTTATCATCTTGGTTGTAAACTTCTCCCACAAAGTTTCGCATCGTCAGTGAAAAGTAGCTAATAATACGATACTTGGTGACAGAGCACAGTAAAACAATCACTGAAATAATTGGTTATGTCAGTAATCGTTTTCATTAAATCAAACGCCTTCTGTTGACAAAAGCAGGTCACTACAAGAGCCCCCCGCTAGAAAGGGTTTACACTCTCGATAAGTAGCAGTTTGGTTCGTGGGGCTTATCGGCTGACGAGCGATTGTAAGACGGAAGAATAGGCAAAACAGGAAGCGATCATTGATTCTCGAGTTCCCAACGATAGTCTTTTGCGTTGAACGGTACCAGGAGAAGTGTGCTGTATTTGTCGCTCGAGTTAGCATACCACACCAGAGTGGTTTGTATCCAGGGTCTGTAGATTTCGTTCGTATTTATGCGGACCAGAAAACGCTGCAGACGTAGGACGAAACCACGTTGAGTCAAGTAACAGGAGGCGACGATGACGACCAAGCGCGAAACCAAGCGTATGCCAGACAGATTCGAAACCAGATTATCGACTGAGTGTGTTGAGAAGAGCGTGGGTGATCAGGACAGCTTTCGCCAAAATTGACTGAATTCGGCGTAACCAAACGAGTGATGGTCGGGGACGTGGGCTCAGGATACAAAAAAAATCAAGAAAAGAAAAGTGTAGCATGCGTGTAGTATAGGAGTAGTCCTACACCGTATCCAATGTTGACTGTGCAGTTAGTCGTGAAAGCGTACAGGTAATCGTACTCAGCGACCGGAACGTGAGACGGTAGTCTCGTTCGTACTTCGTGAGCCTGCGATCTCATCCGAGGTCAAGGGCGGCATGTCTGCCGATCTGAACGTGAGACGGACGTCTCGTCCGTAGATGGTGCAGATGACGCGTGCTGTTGACCGGGACGTGAGAACGAGGTCTCTGATGTATCTAGCGTGGGATCCGAGGTAGACGTAGAGATCCCGCTAGAAGTTTTGATAGGTCTAGCATTGAGTCTCAAGTTATCGGGTAGGGCACTGTCATCGACGTGTGCTGTTTTGAGACGATCAATGCTGACGATCTCGACGCGGCCGTGTCGATCAACCTTGAAGGTCTTTTCGTGACGAGAGATCACGTGAAAAGGGCCTTCGTAAGGCTGTTGTAAAGGTTTGCGTACCGAATCTACTCGTTTGAAAACATGTGAACAGGTAGATAACTCTCGAGGGAGAGCGACCTGTCGATGTTGTATTCGAGTTGACACCGGAGACAGTGTTCGCATAGATGCAGACAGTCGATGGACGTAGTCTGATTTACCGAAATCGTTACTGCTCCGTTGTGTGAAGAATTTCCCAGGCAGACGCAGTGTCGTGCCGTATACAAGTTCAGTGGCGGAACATTGGATATCTGCCTTCAAACTCGCTCTGGTGCCGAAAAGAACGAGCGATAAGGTTTCGTACTAATTGTCGTTTTCGTGTGCTCGAAGAGCACGTTTAAGTTGGCGATGAAACCGTTCAACTAAACCATTTGATGCTGGGTGGTAGGCTGTAGTGCGTATGCGTTCCGTACCAAGCAGCCAGGAGAGTGAGAATAGTCAATTGGGGAAATTTCGCGAATAAAGCGTGGAATTTATCGTCACGCGAGTGAAAAACGCTTGAGATTTGGTACGCGTACATCGGAGTCTATTATATTAATTCTATTCTTATCGTTATCCGTCGAGTCGAGTATATTATATATTCAAAATAAATATGAAAATACACGACAAGCGTTTATAAATAAACAATAGACTCACCGAATCGCGTTCTTTGGAAGATTTGACCGAGGCTGAGACGTGTTCCCAGATTTCGAGTGGAGTCGAGTTGTGATTAACTATGCTGGCGATCTCGTGGTATCGAAAGAATACCGAGATCGTGTCAAAGGAGTACAAGCGTGGTTAATGAGCGTGACCGAATTCGTACAAGGTCAAAGTCAACGGGAGAGTAATATGGCTGTCATTAGCACAGTTAAACAAACGAGCACAGTAAAACAATCACTGGTACAATTGGTTATAATAATAATCGTTTTCATTGAACCAATCGCGTTCTGTTGACAAAAGTAGGTCACTTCAGACTCTCGCTCGCCAGTATCGCGTTTACAGCTGCACTAAAATATCCTTAGGACAAATTAAATCCTACAAAGGATACTCCTCATTCGTTACGTGCGGTAATGTACTCATAAGATAAAACCAAGTTAGTCCGAGAATTATGTATGAACAGCCCTCATTTTATATACATGTAAAACAGGATTGTTTAAATCAGTCAATCTCTCTGACGGTATTTCATGAATGTTCATGATTTCTTTCTCTTTTTCGTAATGTTTTAGTGGCACCTCCAAGTCAGCTGAAAGTCATTAGTCGACGTCTGTTCATGTTCTTTGTATTTTCTGCCGTTCCATCACAGTTGAGACCATCTACAGTCTAGTTAATAAATCGTAACGACTAACGGCTACTTGTGTCAAGATACAGAGGGTCAAAATTTAAAACAACACATGGGTTATTCTAGCGAGCAGATAGTCGTAATTATTCGTTCTGCTTGAGTGAAATGTATCGCTCACCTTATACCTCACACGTCTTTAGCTTATTTTTGCCTGGCTATAAGTTGAGTTGTTTTTATTCTTCGCTTTGAATTTTTTATTATCAGTCAGGGGAAACGGGATTATGAAGTAAACTTATCTAAAACTCATTCTCTTTTTTTCATATTTAATTCCGTCTCAAATCAAGTCAATAATATAGATGGATTGTTAGCATCCTCTTTTGTCTAAATATGAGATAGATCAGTGGGCCATAAAGAACTGAATATGTCTATAGCGAATCCGTTTATTGGCGCTATCCGAATAGCTATAAGGAAATGCGGAAGTTAATTACAGGAAACACTAACCTAGCTGCTTTAGAAACTGTTATCACATGTAAACCACCAGTTTGATTACGAAATGCGTCACAGACGATAAAGGAAGTTCACGACGACGTATAACCCTCGACAGATTACTCATTTCACTCATGTACCTTGAATGAAGACGATAGTAGCCTCATAAGCAATACTACTAAATTGGCTACCGACAATGGGCAACACATAGGACGTCCTGTTAGTTACTACACTACTTAGGAAAATCAACGAGTCCGAATGGGCTCCATTCCTGACACTTGCGATAAATTAATGCATAGCCGCCGAATATATTACGATTTTCATGATTACAACCAATCAGTGGACTACCTTTATACTGTGACGATGAATTTTAACACAAGTTATAAATTATGATCGATATTGTTGTAACTCTATAATGCGATTTATTCGCGACTTATTCAAACTAAGTACTGCCTTAAATCAATGACGTTCGATCGATATGAGCAACCTAGCGTTCATATTGGTTTTTTGTTTGCCTAGCTCATCCAGTTGAGTTCAAAACGCTAATAACAGCTTCCACTATACGAATAATTTATCTCGAACATACTTGGAATATAAACCAGCCAAGCAGATCCCATAGAAAATAACATTTACACAAGATCAAGCCAAAAAATTGCTGTGAACGTGGGTGACGGTAATTATTAAATTAAGGGCAATCTGGGAGTAGAAAGTCGTTTAATAACAATCTATGGGTCAAAATGGAGCTTATAATAAAGGGAACTTATGTATATATAATCTAGTTACTGAATAGTTATACAATAAGAATATATATAATATCAGTCCATAAGTAGATCCCAGAAGTTACCTGTAATTCATTCTTCACTAGGGTATAACAACTAGTGAGCCGCAGAAATGCAAGTCTGTCCTGCATCGTAATTTAAAAGTTGACATACAACGAGAGGTAGTGAAGAATGCCGATGTATGGGCATTCCAGGACAACCTGAAAGCCTTCTCAAGCTAGTAATAATTTTGATTATGCTTATTCACATAACCAAGTGTCTGCATTACTTCGGAAGTACAAGTCTCAACATGTATGAGATACTAATAACATTAAATATTTATCAACACAGACGTTTATATATATGCACAGCCCCACTTAGGTCCATGCCATGTCACTTTGCATAGTAAAAAAGCTCTAAATGTCTAATCAGACCTACTCGAAGATGTATAGAGAACATACCCGTTCTGGATTCCTGTGGTTTATCATGCCTAGTAGGATTTCGAAATGTAGGCCCTTTTTGTTGATTAAATTATACAGTACATGATACGGAGGATTGACTAAGGATCTTACGCATCCTCTTCTCCAGTTTCAAATAAGTTAGGATAACTCAAAAGACATGACAGTTGAGCCTAAAGGAAAAACAACAAATTTCCCCACTGCGAGCCCATCACAAGAGGAAGTAATGTCCACATCTTCTGTTGACTTATTTAGAAAGCATCATGCACCAAACAAAACTGAACAGGGATGAACCCATAAACTGCCTCGGCCTTTAATAGATTTACCTAAGAAACTACATATCGTTGAAATTAAACTCTAAAACAAATGACCCATCTCATTATTTATGATTGTACATTTGACCGCCTATTAAGACGAAGCGAGATCTAATAAACAATGCCTACGCTTGAGACTGCACAGAAAACTTCAGTGTAAATTGTAAAAACAGACCGCCATATGCTTCGGCACGTCGCCAAGACAACTGCAGTAAATAATCCCGTCATATCTAGTTAACCTAAACATTCACCAATGGTTCGAAACGAGTGAGTCTTACTGCAGTCTAACTATCTAGACTTCTGTGAGGTATCTGACTTGCATTTCATTCAACCTACCTCATAGTCTACATAACTAGTCTCAATGTTATACACCATGTCAATCCTTCATACAAATTGGAAATACACAATAATTCTACCCTCTTCTTTTTTTATTACCTTGGGAATACTTTTTCGAAATAACTGGTCACCTAGTCCTGCCGGGTCTAAGAAACTTCTGAACTGTTTTCGAGAAGATCAAGGGAACAGGAAGTAGCAGCTTACGCTCTCTAAAGTCCTCCTAATATCACGTTTGTCTGCGGTTTATTATAATTGAATTTCATCATGAGAGATGCAATTTGCCGATTGGCTTTAGTGACTCGATATCGTCCGACTGTTTGAAGTTAAGTAGCAAGACGCAGAATGGTAGAAATTTGGGGTTTCGCGCTGGCCGGTACTTCTAAACACTTGTAACTGATACCTTCAGAGAGTCGATGCTTTCTTTAGAATGACAAATCCAACCTCCAGAATAATGTACGCGCAACTCATTATTCTCAAACTACGACGAAGTTACCCATAGAGTTTCCTAGTTTCTCATGTGATTGATATAAATTTGTGACAAAAGCAATTCAAAACTAGTTTCACTTCACACAAACCTTTCATGACTTATTCGATCTAATAGTATTTATAAAGCAGTTAGAACAACAGTGTTAGGAATAAAATAATAATTTTCGTATGTATATTTTGTTTCAAATAGGTTAAGGTGATGAAATATGATTTTGTGGGGATAAGAACATCACACTATAGTATCATTCTTCATATTCATTTTTTATTGACTTCTCACATTAAAAAAACATATCTGAGATGGTTACAGAACTAATCGCACAAATTTGAAGGATGTTTAGAAGAGTGATAGAGAGAGTAAAAAATCTTAAACTATTGACTCTCAACCAAAATGACCAATGTATGCGAGAGAAAACAACAACAACAAACAATTGAAGTCAGTATGCTGGATGGGCAATGACTATTGTTGTTGTTGACTGCTGTAGTTAATTATTTTATCATTCTTTTAGTTGAGAGTGAGACGAAGGATGAATCATTGTATCTCCAGTCGGTGGTAGTGGTTGTTGTCGTGATTGATTTTTCACTCCTGATTGTGAAATATATGAGGAAGAGGAGGCGGCAGCAGTGGAAGCTAAAGATGGGTCAAAAAATGATTGGAAATGTGGAGTGGTTCGCCAAATTTCTATTAAGTTTATTTTTCATTAAACCGGAAGAATTATTCAGAAAAGGAAGGAGATAGAGAAAATAGTCAAAAGTGCACCCAATTTTAAAATATTTTACATTTTTAATCACATCTTTATAATGTTAAAAGTTTATTGGTAGTCGTATAAATGAATAAATTTCATTACAACATACAGGTCAATATTCAACTAATATTAAACGAAATAAAAACGTAATTCAAATTACTGAAACCGGTCATTGAAGCCAGTAACAATCATAAGTCGCAAGAATTATAAGTAACTGATAAGTTGACAATTGTGATGCCCAATTAAATACATATTAATGATAGATTTAAATAATTTGTAACCTCTACTGAGGTATAAAGGAAACAACGATATCTTTCAATAATAACAGGCTTTTATTATATCTTTGATTGAAATATGAACATATTCGTTTGTAAACATGTCTCTAATTTAGTTTAATTACAATTCTAACTGAAATTTTAGTTACGATATATATTCAAAATATCATTTGTTTTTATTGACAAGTATTACATTACTTGAACTCCGTCTGGAGCCCTTCTAAGACTACTGCCGGTCCCAAGCCTGGTTAAAGAAGGAGGGTTGGGCAGAAAACGCTAACCAGAAATCACATTATTTGAAATAGTCGATTCCCTTACATACTCAAAAGTGAGACGAACCAATAAGAGTTGAGAGAACAAGTTTAGGATTCTGGTGTGAGATTTATTTAACTATATGATCAAGTAGCATTTTGGCATTAAAACTGATGTCAGTTCATAGTGACATTCGTAACTTAAAATGTTTACACTAATCTACAACCCTCTTTTGATTATAGGTGAATATTCTCAAAATCATTTTGGCATGGCTCAAAGGTTACCTATAAATTATAGCCTCGCCTATTTACTCTTCTTGTTGACAATAAGCAAAACACTTTGATTTTTAAAATATGATGGCTGTTTTAAGTAAGTTTAAAACTTGAATGATATTGTACAACTGAAAGTATTTCAATTAAAATGTGATCAACCGCCTTCACCCAATATTTAAGTTCACAAATGTTCACTAAACTATCAATTTGGATTTTCGATCAGCCAAATTACTAGCTCCATGCTTTAAAGCTTACATGCCTTACTATAGCTATTAATGTCAAAGGTTAACTCATTAAAACACATATCGGTCCTTCGTCGAAATTTCCAACAATTATTAAACTCCAATAGTTCAGATCATGAGTAAATTGAAGCTAGATCACCATGAACGGCCGTTTCGTTCTATTGTGGGACTACTCAGTAATGTGTATTATGACTTATGAAAAAATATTTGTCATAAATGAGGAAAGTTAATGACAATATAGTATAAGTAAACGCTATTTGTATCTTCCGAAAACTGAGTGAATAGAACAAGTTACAGTTAACTACTACATTACTAAATTAGTAAGCGTAACGAACAGAGGGAATAACATATTATTACAACTAAAAATCGATCAAATTAATTCATTTGACTGCTTAATACCAATAATCCATCATATTACACTGAAATAACTTGTCAACCGAGAAGTTATCAATTTTGATAAGCGTCAGTCTTTTTCCTTTCATCGATTGGCAGTGATGCATGTAAGAATGTAACTTTTAATAGAGATTTCATTTCAATCTCTAACTTTAATTAAATTGTATTATTTAACTAGTACGTTAGGTATATTCTGTATTGACGGGTTCAAAACAGATAGAAGTGAATAACTTTATGTATTTAAAATGAAATCTCTAATGAAAATTACACTTTTATATGCAACACTCATTCATTAAACAGATATAAAACTGATAGAAGATACACGGTACCGCGTTATCATTTGTTGAACGTTTAATAAAAGTAGACGGATAAATTTATGTTTGATCACTGCCGGTAACCAAAAAATCATCTCTAATTCCTATTCTTTAGAATAATAATGAAGAACTATACTGTAAAGATGATCTTTAGAGAACCGATTAGAAGTAAGAAAGAGCTTCTTAGGTTTGGAGTAAAATATAAACAACAATGAAGGGTAGATTATCGCTTCACATTAGAGCTAAGTAAATACTGTCTATATCTAGTTCTCAATGTGTTAATTACACATCGAGCGAACTTGATATGATTCAAGGTATATTCACAAAAAATATTTGTGTATATAAAAATGATTAGCCTACTTTAATTTCAACTCCTAACTCCAAAATCCTTAAACCCGTGTAACTCTAGCTAATAATCTTAATACTACTAACCTTAATTTATGACCCTAATCTGTTTTCCAGTTATTATAATTAACAATTTATTGATCGTATGGAAACTATTTGTTTATTTTTAATTGAATTACTTTTTAATGTAAATTCATATATAAATAAACATTAATTTCTTCTGATTTGTCAATAAATTCCTAATACTCGTCGAGATATTATCCTAACTTTTGTCGACTAATCTAACCATTAAGAATAGTTGTTGGATTATCTGATCTGGATGATATTTCCATTACTCGTTGGGACAATATCATCAGAACCTAACTTAAAAAGATAATAAAATCTTCAGAAGTAAATCATCTAGTTCAGAGGACACAAATATTGTTAAAGTACAAAGAATTTATATATATTTCAATAGTTGATATCATGAGTCATTTGAAACTAGGCCGCCATGGAAAAGCTGGAAGCACTGGATGGCCGTTTCTTCCTATTGTGGGACTCTTCAGCAGGGCGCATCCACGATTCCGTCCCCCGCGAGATTCGAACCGAGAACCTATCAACTGGGTCAGTTGTGAGATATTAACTCACTGATGACAATGGTGGATTTGTTGCTCAATTTCGTGCATTAGTTGAAGTTAGATATTGACACCCCTGGATACCGGCCAGCTCAGTGGTCTAGAGGTTAAGTATTCGCGCACGAGACCGATAGGTCTATGGTTCGAATCTCACGAGGAGGGATAGTGAATGCGCACTACTGAGAAGTCGCGCAATAGGATGAAACGGTCGTCCAGTGCTTCCCGGTTTTCCATGGTGGTCTAGCTTCAATTGACTCGTGATCTCAACCATTGAAATTACTACAATCTCCACAAAAACCCTTCTGAATATATATACTATACAACATACTATTTAATGTAATTTATAGACATCGTAATAAAAAAAGCTTACGTTCAAGTAAATCTGTAGATGAAATTTGATTATTTTTCACTGTAGAATCTGGAAAAAAAACAAATAAAAAGCATAGAAATAACATTTCAATAATAGTTCAACTGAATTTTATTTGATTTAATTATATAAATCAGTGTGGGGATTCGTTTATTTTCATATTTAAATTCATGAATCGATCTAAGCGAAATCATCATTAAAAATCTGGAAGTACTAGCCTAGAGGTTAAGCGTTCACACGCCAGAATGAAGGTTCTGGATTCAAATGCCTTTGGTGCAGGATCATAAATAAGTACTACTACAGAGTCCCGTAGTAGGTTGAAGCGACCGTCCAAGTTTTAATGGTGATTTAGCTTAGATCGACTCATGAAAATAAATCACTTTATTGATGATAAATAGATCTGAATTGAAAAGTTCTTCATTGTTATTCTGGACTATTTTATCAACATTTATTTAGTCTAGAATCAAGTGTTTTTAATTATTACAAAAGTGTAAAATAAGTTCCACCTCATGCTTCTATTTGTGGCTAGTTATCTACGTAGGTCCAGTTTCGTTTGTATTCAAGTTGATTGTTTTTTATTCGATTCCCCTAAGTGTGGTTAATTAAACATAGGCTAACAGAGTGGAACTACGTTGTATCATCGATTTGAATCAAAGTACAAAGTTTGTTGAGACAACAGTAGGATCTGAGAAAAATGTTCACTAATCAGAGGTCGTTCGAACAAGACAACCAACTTGAACTAAGAAATAACCTTCTACTTAGATTAGGTGTTGATAATGTTATCCCCGGAATGAAACTGAATATTTTGTAATTCAACTATTTAACTCAGAGAACTAGATAATACCAAAAGTATCCATTTGAACCTCATACCTTCTGCCTCATAATGTTCTGTATTACAAAATCTCTTATACACCCTAGTCAGTCAGTCAGCTACAACGTAGGACCGGACACATATATGCATCGGTCCAAGTCACCATACCACATTAGCACATCAAGACGAACACCGGATTCATAAAACTACTTAATTCAGTAGTGGTAATAACATAAAAGACAGATTGCATATAAGTATATAGTACAAGAAGAAAGAATTAGTTCGTAAACAAAAAGATATGAAGTAATTTTAATCTCATAGTTTAAAGAAAGACAGAAAGTGTATACACCTACACCATTGTGATTGATTCTGGGTCATATCACCCAGAATCTCTAATCATCGGTTACGATAGTCACGTGAACCCCAACTAAGTAGTCTGCATAAATACTAGTAAATACAATAGAATAGGATATATTTTTACAATTAACTAGATAACATAAATGGAGATACCCCCCCACACACACACACAAAAAAAAAAAATTAAAATGTTCAAAGAATTATTATTGAATGGATTAAGAACTATCTTAACAACAAGTAGAAACACAAATGTATTTCACTTGAATACAAATTAAAAATGAATCAAAATAATAATTTAAAAAATCAACCAATAAATGATAACACTTTCGATGATAAATATGCTGATACATTGTTAGGATAGTTTTAACATTTTCTATACTACTAACATAATGTATATGATAAGTTATTTTCTTAAAAGTATGAACATATCACATTGTGACTGTTTAATATTAATGATTATTTACATAACAATAAATAATTAATAACCTATTGATCATTTCAATTCGATAAAATCTTCATACAGAACTGATAAGAATATAATGAAATAATTAATATGATAATTGAATGGATGAGATTCAATGTTGAAATATGTCAAGTTGATAAATAACACATCTCAGAAAGAAAGAAAAAAACAACTGACTAAGTTAAGAGAGATAATAATGATTACTGAATTTGTTAATAATTAGTCTAACAAGTTTAAATTGATGAAAATTGAAGACTTGAGAAAATAAACAAACAAACGTAACTGATTGTAATCAGTTAACTACAATGTAAGACCAGGCACATATATGTATTGGTCCAAGTGGCCACACCTTATTAGCACAACAAGATGAACACCAAATTCATAAATGTAGTCAATTAAATGATAGTAATATATAAAAGAAAGATTGTGCATAAGGATATAATACAAGGAAAGATATACACCGATTTTAATCTCACAGTTTAAGGAAAGACGGGGAGTGTATTCACATACACCATTGTGACCGATCCGGAGCCAGGTCACACAGAGTCTTCAACGTCCAGAGTCCGACGTCACGCGGACCCCAACCAGGTAGTCTGCATCTACCAACATGGCACAGACCAGAAGTTAGTGAATTCAAGCACTGATGCCACGTTTTGGTTTCATCGCCTCTAACTTTCTTCCAACAATCCCCAACACTAGTCAGCATGCCCTGGTACGGTCGAGAGTGGGGAGAGTCCGCTCTCCCTCTCGAAATACTCTCACATGGCCACGAGTATATAGCCTCTGACAGGGAAGTCCTACTCACTGCCTTCTCGTGGCACAGGTGTTGTTTACAAAAATGAGAGGACGAAAAGCGAATGTCCGGAACCGGCTTTAACGGGATCCCAAATCAATGGTGCACATGGGCTCCAGTATCCTGCCTGAAGGAACAAATGGCGTATGAACCAATCGTTGGTCACCGGCTACCATGGGACTGCATCTCCTCACGATGCTCCACTGCCTTGTGGGTCAGACGTTCAGGTCAAAGGCTCGGGGTGTGGCCCCCCAAGAAAACTACCTGCTCCGGTTTGGGCACCCGAGCAGTATCACAGCCCTCACACAAATCAATTGAGATTCGTGTGGCGCATATGTATTTGTTGCCTCCTTGTACAAATGCTTATGTGTTAAAAATAAAATAAAAAATAAACTAGTCAGCATTGCGCGTCGTGGTAATCGGTGTTCAGTCATACGTAACACGTGACCCAACCATATCAGTCGATGAAGATTTACAACCTCATCGACTGATTCACCATCATTCCATAATACTCTGCGTCTAACCTCACTATTACTTAACTGGTGATCCCAGCAGATATCCGCAATATTTCTAAGGCACCTGTGGTCAAATACTAGTAACTTACGAATATCTTCTACTCTTAAGGGTCATGTTTCGCAGCCGTATAGTAGAACAGAACGAACTGCCGCGCAGTATACTCGACCCTTAATTGATAGACGGATATCTCGCCTTCGCCATAGATGACGTAAGTTGGCGAAAGCCAAAGGATCTTTTCGATCCATGCTGAGATTTAGTCAGACACCAACCCATTAGGGTTGATGAGACTTCCAAGATTAGCGAAGTTGTCAACGCGTTCGATAACTTAAAGTGGATTCCCGTTATCTAATTTGTTTAGTTATTATTTTATTGTGCCACCCAACACTTCATCAACACAATTGAAAACAATATGAGATCTTTTTCAAAATGACATAAATACTTAAAACGAAGAGTTTCTTGACAATCCACAAGACAGAGAAACAACGATAGAAGATGCAATCCCATTTCAGCTGGCGACCAACAGCAAGTTCATAGGCTATTTTTTCCACAGGATCCTGGAGCCAAAGTGACCATTGGTTTGTGTTAGCGGGACAGAAATTAGATTAAAGCATGTTTCATGCGTTGGTGCGCGCTGATTGGCTAATTCCTAACCAACCAACGCTAGTCGATACTTGGAGAAGACTCTAGAATCTTCTCATGTAGAAACTATAAATATACTAACATTTTTCTTATTGTCCGGCGCTTTAACCGGATCACAACCAATGGTGCACATGGGCTCCAGTATTCTGAAGGAACAAATGGCGTATGAACCAATCGTTGGTCACCGGCTACCATGGGACTGAATCTCCTCACGATGCTCCACTGCCTTGTGGATCAGACATTCAGGTCGAAGTCTTCGGGTATGGCCCCCTAAGAAAACCATTTACTTCGGTTTGGGCACCCCGACAGTATCACAGCCCTCACACATATCAAATGAGGTCTGTGTGGCGCATATATATTTGGTGCCTCCTTGTACCAATATCTATGTGTTAAAATAAATAATAATTTTTTTATTGTAACTCCTATTTCGATCTACCCTTGTTATTTGAAATATAATTTAGTTCCTGTTCAAGTGTTCTGATCTGGGGCCTTGGCAAGTGAATTGGTGTCCAAGTATACTACGCAATAGGAATAGCTGGGTTGTATTACGAAAGAATTATAACAGTTTGGAATCATGTTTCTCCAACTCCCTAAGTGGATCCTCTGTACCCGCCAATACGGTTTACGCACCGGATATGCTTTTATCGCCCCCTCAATTTCGTAAAAAGCACCTACTACGAAAAGGCGATAAATACGAATCCCCTTCTGGTGGTTATATGAGAACATTTGAAGAAGAAGAATGGATTCTGCCCACTCTCGATCATAACAAATACTTTTTGATGAATTACATTCCCGTATGAAAAATTAAGTTAAATATGTATATTTGGTGGCTTAGTACTTTTTCCATGAATAATCTCTATCAGTCTTCCAAAATAACCAAGAATCGATAAGCAATCTATGTGATATGTTTTTTATCTAAGCAAGAGAAAGTAAAATAGCTAAAGCAGTGACATTTTTACAACGATTTTATTAGTATAATGGGGTTCAAGTAGATCGTCAGATCTTGTGGTTTACATGATGAACTAACTGTAGCCATACACTGACTAAAAGTGAGGAAGCACTGAACAGGTGTTTCGCAGCAGCATGTGACTCATCAGTAGTGTGCGTCCTCGACATCACCATGGGTTGAACCTAAGACCTCAAATTAAAGATCACTGAATAGGCATTCGACGTTTGACATTTCTAATCAATACATGGCGTGACCATCATCAAGTGTCAGTGGTGGGTAAATGCTTCTTTCTCAGAATGATTGGACTCCAATGAGTTCAATCTCTAGTGGGATCGTGAGAGCATACTTCTGAGAAACACCATGCTTAGACGAAACATCTATTGAGTGCTTCTTGATTCTGAATGGTTATTTAGCTATATTTGATTTGTGATTTAAACTACAAAACAGTCATTTCAATAAGCAATTGAAACTATAACGCAACAATGTATGTATTAATTTACTTGAAGATGATAACCGACTGGATACAATGGCGGGATCCTCGAGTTGCCATGTAAATGAGGAAACTTGAAAAAGAAAACAAAAGATTATGTATATAATTAAAGTTACGTAATGAGACAGGCTTGATTGATATGTTAATACTTCAAGATTCTATATAATTCATTAAATTTGTATACTTTCTCCATTGATCACAACATAAAATAGGTAAAATAAAATTGTACTATTGATATCCGAACTTTTGATAATATTAAGTTCTTTGAGCTAATAGACTGACTGAGAAGCTTAAATTATCATTCTGGACAACAGTATAATGATGAACGCTTTGCAATCAAACCATTTTGGTTTAAAGAATGCAACACTATTAAACGTATCCCCATTTGAAGTATCCTAAAGATTACAACAGATGAAAATTAACAGTAAACAAAATTATGTAGACCTGTTTTTTTCTTTTTGTTTTATTATTTATGATTCGGTAAATATTTGATACAATAAAAGACATCAATAGTGTGTCATATTTGGTATACAGTTTATGACATTACTCCCTCATATCTAGAGTAGTAAATAATAATGTTTTCACAAAAATTTAATATTTTAAATGAATCTAACCAACAAAGACATGGATTAACTGTTAGGGAGATGCCTTTCCACAGAACCTAGATGAGAAAAGTAGATTCAGGTGTTATTCATTATTGTAGAGATTCTGAGGCCTAACTGGATTACTACTCGTTTGGAGGCAGGATTTATCAACTCCATTAAAATGGAACGTTCATATTTATACCGAATTCGTCTAACCAATGGATAGTTCTAGAAAATAAATTGATCAAAGACGATGTAACATTTACACACACACACAAAAAAAAATTAAATGATTATTAGAGCTATAGGAGTAAGGAATATTCATAATCGTGTACTTGAAGTCTAGGGAAAAAGAACATTTACCAATAAAAGAAATTATGAAATTATATAATTATCAATTTCCTTGGCCAATATACTAATCAGTAAATAAATATGAAAACAGAAGTTATTTGATAAGTAACCGAATACAACCTGTAAATTATGAAAATCGGTGAGAGATTGTAGTGATTAAATAGTTAAATTAATAAGTCGATAAAAGCTAGACCATCATTGAAAACCTAGAAGTATTGGATGGTTATTTTGTCTTAGTATAGGACTCTTCAGTGGGATCGTAGATGCGAACTAATGAAGAGTTCCATACTAGGATGAAATGGCCATTTAGTGCTTCCAGATTTTCAATGGTGATCTAGCTTACATTGACTCATGAGAATTCAACTAATAAATTTTACACTTATCTAATTTTGACTTCTTGTAAATTCTAACCCTCATTCATCTTATTTTATAATAACTGTAATAAATTACAATGATTTAGTTAAAATACGAGATTAGATTGAAAATAAGGTTATAGGGTTAGATTTTAAAGAAGCATTCATACAGACATGATTATGATCACCAATAAATCTTTTAAGATAAAGACATATATACAATAGGAAAACGGTGGAACTATCATTTATGGACGACCTTTGAGCGTCGCTAGACTAACCTTTAGAGTGTACACTTAATAAGTAGGACCAAATGAGGGTTACAAACCTGTGTGAGGAATTAAAATTATGATTTACATTGGACGGTTAAAGTTAGAAATTAGATTTAGAGTTTTCATCATGAACTGACATCAGCTATAATGCCAAAATTCTATTTAAACAAATGGATGAATGAATTTCCCGCCAAAATCCGAGAGCTGTTATCTTATATATGATTGGTTTGTCCATAAATTATAGTTTCGCCAGGAAAACTTAAACAACAAATGAAAATCTATTTCATTAGTATCTTAATATTTTATATTATTTAAAGATGAGTACAAATGTGAAGATCAAATTAGGAAAGATGAACTATGAAATTAGCTTTTGAAAGATATAGAATAATAAGAGTAACACAACTTATAACCTATGGAATTCTTTAAGAATTTAACTAAAATACTAATCACAGATCTAAGCATAAATTAAAATGATTGATTAGTATGTTATTTACAAAACTGCGCCACCATCACCATTGTCATAGATGCGCACACCCCAAATGCCCTGGTACGGCCGAGAGTGGGTAGAGTTAGCTCTCCCTCTCGAAATACTCTCAATCGGCCACGAGTATATAGCCTCTGACAGGGAAAACCTACTCACTGCCTTCTCGTGGCACAGGTGTTGTTTACAAAAATGAGAGGACGAAAAGCGAATGTCCGGAACCGGCTTTAACGGGATCCCAAATCAATGGTGCACATGGGCTCCAGTATCCTGCCTGAAGGAACAAATGGCGTATGAACCAATCGTTGGTCACCGGCTACCATGGGACTGCATCTCCTCACGATGCTCCACTGCCTTGTGGGTCAGACATTCAGGTCGAAGGCTCGGGGTGTGGTCCCCTAAGAAAACCACTTGCTTCGGTTTGGGCACCCAGGCAGTATCATAGCCCTCACATATATCAATTGACATTTGTGTGGCGCATATGTATTTGGTGCCTCCTTGTGCCATTATCTATGTGTTAAAATAAATAAAAAAATACAACAGGACGAAACGGTCGTCCAGTGCTTTCAGGTTTTCCATGGTGGATTAACTTCAATTGACTCATGATTTCAACTATTGGAATTACTTAAATCTCCACCAAAAAACCCCTAGCATGTTATTTATCTAAGAATGAATAGTTACCTCGAAAATTTATATTCTATGTTTATTAAATCTACTTGATCTAACAGCAAACCTTTAAACAGTGATCGTCAAATCCATAGTTACTTGTTTCGACGCAAAAAGAATCTCAAACAGAGTCAGTGAGTAACAACGTAGAACTTTGTACATATGTACATCAGTCCAAGTTGCTATACCACATTAGCACAAAAATCTTAAACAGAACTTTTAGTAATAATTATCACAAGTGACTATCTAGCTACTAACCCCCACCAACTAATACAAGTAGATTAGATGGTGGTTGGAGGTAGTCGACAGGAAAACCTGGACACGGGTTTTGTGCTACTTGGTACTCGTCAGCAAGGTTTACCTGTAATCTTAAGGGAACTTTTGCTCTCTGACAGATTCGATCCCATGTCACCCAGCTTCACAGTCAGAGACGTTACCACTGAGCTGTCCGGGCCGCGACCGACCTCCGATAGGACTAAGATGTAATCACAATTAATTGATCACTGGGGTGGTGGTCAATGTCATGCGCGTCTAGTCGTTATTAGTGCAGATCGAATGCTACTGATCATGTTGCAATGACTAGACACGCATGACATTGATCACCATCCAGTGATCAATCAATTGTGAAAAGACAAATATTTATGCTTGCTTTAATTGACAATGATAATTTTCTATTGTAACCATGAATCTCATAACTTCTGGTAATAAACGATACTCTTACATTTTGACGATTAAAAATATATATATAATTGACTTTCTTAGTTGAATCAACGCTACATTGTAAAATAGAAACAAGACAAAAAAAATACTAAATGTTCGCTAAAATTAATTACCTGAATTAGTTGAAGTAGGATGTGAATCCATATCGGTTGGGCCTGTGTTGCAGCAGAAACTACTATTATTAATATTAGTATTAGTATTATTATTATTATTCTGAAAAGAAAAGCCGGAGCAGATTCTATAAGTAATTAACACTGAATATATATCAATAGAATTATTAAACTGCAAGAAACTCATTAACATAACATAACTAACATTACACCGACTGTAATCAATGTAAATGTACAACACATTGAAATTGTCTTATAACATAATCTATTTATATAAGTGGAAAGTCAGTAATTAATAAATGAATCAGATGATAAATCATCTGTATATAGTTGAGATTAATGCGTTAGTATTTGTAATCTAACTATTAATCATCTACCTTTTAGCAAACAAAAAAAAACAGACAAAGAATCAAAACTAATTTCAGTTAGAGATGTAAAGTATTGAACACGGATCTGGTGGTTTTAAAAGTGAAGTGCACACTAAGAAACTTCAGGGTTCTACATTGGATCCTTGGCAACGGCATGTGTATACACCGCTGAAGAGTATCATACTAGGACGAAGCAACTGTCTAGTATTTCCTAGTTTTCAATGGTATCCCAGTTTATGACGAATGCATTCTATGAATATATTGTACATGAATTTGAAGAACGGGATGAAAGAGAAAGAATAATGAGACAAAATCCTACCTATAACTTTTTGTTGTTGTGATTTGAAACTAGACTTGTTCTAAAGTTCCACAATAAATTTGTCTATTCATTACACTACAACAAGCAATGAACACATTCGTATCTTTTCTTTCAAAAATTTGAGGTTAACATATTATTAGGAATTCTCCTACTCCTAAAAAATGACTAATAATAAGATCCATTCGCTGACCTTCCAAAACACTGTATAAATTCTCTATTGATCATTTAACATATAAAATGCAACAATGTTATCCGTACATAAAAAAAATACTTGTTGATCTTTTACTATTACATGGTAATAGAATGCTTTAACAAATAAAAAAGATGAATACGAAAGTATTATTTAACTACCTGACAATAATTAGTACTAATGTTGAATGAGAGTAATAGAATATCCCCATGTAGGTACAATTACTAGTCAGCTATAAATCATAGATTTTTGTGTACAGGTTGAGGCAATCAAACTTGGACGACAAAATATTGAGAGACATAAGTTTAAACTATCAAGTCATAACTGTAGTAACACTTCATATATATATATATATATATATATATATATATATAACAAAATTTTTTTGAGTGTCGTAGTAGCAAAAAAATTATTGATCCTTTCAACGACTGTATAAGGAGTAGGATTATGAAACAAACTAAAGTTCAATAACTTACTAAATACATCAAGATATTAACCGGTTCAGTACAACCAATGGGAGACTATGTTCTATGCAACAGTTATCAATAAGACCCAGATAGTCATAAGAAAACTGAGGAGATTAGAATAAGTATCACCCCGTTTTATAGAGATGTTTGCACTGAACTATATCAACTGTTAACGGCTTTATGTAGGATTAAGATTATTACATGACGAAACACTGCCTAACATCTAGTTTTTATTTGTTTAGGTAATTTGATATTGACCAACATTTTACTTGATAAGTATTTTTGAAGCGAAATGTTAAAATAGATGAAATCTATGAAATAACAAGGTGATACTTCACATTATCACTTTTATTTTAAACCTCCTAGTAACTTTAACACACGAAAAAAAGATATATATGATCTATAGTGGAGTATATAAATTAAGAATAGGTTATTGAATTGCACTAATTTAACATGATATAATTAAGACTAATATAGGCACGTATCAGTGTATGACTACAATTAAATATAAGATTTATATTATATATTTAGAGGCTAAATGTATTAGGAATAAAATCTTCACTAATAAATCTATGATTACTTTTAAACTGAACTAACTGTCTACAGTTAACATATTATTTATTCGTCTTATACTATTAATGATCACGTTATAAAATATGCTGAATATGAAGACAGGACTACTAGTATCTATTAATCAATCGGTTGTGATTAAATTTTATTGATTAGAATCACTTAAATGTTTATAACAATTATAAGCAGTTACTAAATGGAGAAGATAATCATTTTGACAAACTAGTAGAGGACAGTCAGTCATAAACAACACAGAATATGGCATATATTTGTATCGGTTAACATTTTTGTATTATATCAGACGAAGGACTAAAGGTCTTGGGTTTGATTTCAGAGTGAGGGGTCGCGGATGAGCACTTCCAAACATCCCATACTAGGACGAAACGAACGTCCAGTGCTTTCAAGTTTTCAATGTTGGTCTAGCTACGAACAGTTTGTAATTTCAGCTGTGAAAATATTTTGTAGATTTTGTTAAACAAAACCCGTAGTAATATTTTTAGAACAATGCTTTAATAGCTAAAGGACAATTTTTAGCTGTGCTGAGTTGGATGATGGTTCAAAGATAACGGACACTCAAATAAAACAATGTGACTTAAAAGCTGATCATATGAATGAATATTTAGTGGATGAGTTACAATAGGAAATAATGATTAATTATTTATTTAGAAATAGCCTAAATCATAAGGAAAGGTGTCTAAATATTATCACAATTCATTTATCTACGAAGTGGGACTGAACTTTGTACATATCAGCCATGAAGAATGAAAATTTAACACAGTCAATGTTGAAGTTTGATATGAGAATTCAAATTTGTAAAGTGATAATTCAAATGACAGAAATCTTCATTAAGCTTAAGTATATATTCTAAAAAAGATAATATTATAGGTATAAGATATTTGTGGAAGCTGTTGAGCTTTATAGTTAACACCGTGGACGGACCTTAGTTAGACAATCATTCAAAATCATAGGGGATTTGCTGGCAGTTTCTCTCTAGTATGAGACTACTCACTGACTAAGATCATACACAATTCGACTGTAGATCGAACATCGGCTCTCAATAGTTTGACGGTTAAGCGCTGAAGACCTGGTGTTCCTAGGTCTAATTCTTGAAGGGGTCGAAAAATGCGCACTTCGGAGGAATTTCATATTATTATTATTATTAGTGGCTTTATTCAATATTATATTTTTGGTACAATATAGAATTCTCAGCACAAAGTATTTCAACAAGTTTCCCTTTCTTATTTCTTGATCAGTTCTTGCGATAAATATTGAGTGGTCGCCAGTTAGATGTTATCGGTTCAGGAATCGACATCTGATAAATGTATATCCTTTTGGATGCATACTGCCAGTAACCATGATGTCTCTGATTGACCTCGTTTGTAACTTGTACAGTGAAATGTCGTAAACTTCTCACAAACGCACCTGAATAGGTTATGAGACTAATAGGCATAATGATGTGTTAAAACAAACAAGAAAACAAATAACTTAATGAAATATCCAGATGGTAGGCACAGGTAGCCCAGATATTCAAGCAGGCCGCCTAGAATATACTAGGAAGAGCCATGTATCCAGTCCTCCCTGGTTTTCTAACTAAGATTAGTTCGTGATATAAACTATAAGCTTTTTAATAATACTAAAACAAATATCCAAAAATTCTCTCTGAAAATGATTAATTGAAAATATCTTCAGGACTGAAATTGATAGACACAAAAAGAGTGCAGCATACAACATATATCAGTGAAATTACATGTTATTTGAACAAAGTATCTTTTCACTGCATTCGGATTGGCCGTATGGTTAGAGATAATGAAAGTTCATTGGTTTTTTTATAAATTCTCTCATAAAATCGAGCGTTTACAACTTATGTAATAGAATTTCTACTGGTCGCTCATACGTGACAGAAGTAGTTTTATGAAGATGAGAACAAAAAGCGAACGTTCAGAGTTTAAATTAGGTTGTTGGATACAGATGTTTTACTTAGTATATGTGTGTGGGGGGAGGTTGACTTCAAAAATTCCAGATTAATTAAAAATACTGATCTTAAACGCTTTTAGCCTAATCTGGAACCGATAGAAAACAACCTATATAAGAAGTCGAATGAACAATTTGATCAAATAAATCAATGCTTTATAATTCACTCATCAAACTAGACTTAATAGGATAATCGCCAAAAATAATCCAAACTACATACACATACACACACTTAGGTAAACTCAACGATGAACTGAAATCGACAATGACTAACATAGATATTCACTGTTAAATTATATCTCTATGTATAAATGTAACAATTACAATACAAACAATTAAAAACAAATCACAAAAAACAAAATAATTTTTTTAAAAAAGAAAAACCAAACAAGAAAAAAAAAGAGAACACTTACTACACATAGAGTAGATAGTAATTTTGTATTTTTTTTCCGAACAAGAGAAAATAATAATAACAATAGAAAGAAATCAGTGACAGTATCATAAGTTGTTTACAATTCATTAATAATAATAATAATAATAATAATAATAATAATAATAATAATAATAATAATACAACTATAATGAATTATAGTAGTACAGAATCAATAAACTGGTACGAAATGAAAGTTACCAACCATAAACAGATTTTTTTTTAAAAAAAAGGAAACATTAGTATACTAAAGTGTTTTGTTGGACAGTCATCATCTGATAAGAGAGAGAGAGAGGGATCACTTTTACCCAAGTTATACAAATAGTAAGAGTAGTAACCAGTATGATAAGATTATTTGTTACCGTTTTTAGTCATAATGTTTATACAATCTCTAACATGTAAAAATTAAATATTCTTTAGAAGAAATACAACTAACATTATCAACATCATGTTTGTTATAAAGAATTGTGAATTGTAATGGAGTTTTGTTCTTTGAGCTGGATGGTATGGTCGTGGAGTTTTCATCATTCTTCTGAACATCATCAGCAAATACGTATAACTGAAATTACTGCTAATGATGATGATGATGACGTTCAGAAGAACGATGAAAGCTCCACGACTAAACCATCTAGCTCAGAGAAAAAAACTTCATCAAAATCATCCATCTGAGCTACAAATCTTCTCTACCATCTCAAAATTATGAATTCAATAGAGGTTTATTATTTTCTACAAATTGATCGGTATGTCGTTAACAATTTAAACGTATGGAATCTTGTAATTAACTAGTT